AGCGCTGGTGGAACCAAAGGCGATTAACGACCCCAAGTCCGGGTCCCTAAGACCAAAGCGGGGCAGCCGTGGGGCATCCGGGTGGGAACCAACCTAGCGCGTTGCAGTAACCTAGACTTAACATGCAACACGGATGTTGCCTGTACCCTAACAGCAACATCATCAGAATAAACCTGGAGCACAAGCAGGGAACATGACTCGCAAGACTTTGGGTCAAAGGTGTCATTGACCCAACAGGCAACATGACAGAGGCAAAACAGGTGACCGTCACCCTGAGACAAAGGCACACAGCGAATTTCAAATCCACACAAGGCAGGCTGGAACTCCAGAGACGCATCCATGGGTCTACTGAGCCCCGACAGGGTTTTCCAGGGGCCCGTAGGGTAACAACTATGGAAAGCCTGGGCAAGGTGTTGCTAACCAGTTAAACGCCCAAACTAACAAGGGGTAGATGACAACACTGAAACCCCTGTGACATACAATTACAGGGGCCTAGCAGAGGGCCACCAAAACAGTATCAAGGAAACTATAGTCCCACTAGGCAGACCCCCCACCAGGCAAACAAGAACAAAAGAAAAGAAAACCTCGCAAAAGTACACCGTCCCCAGAGGCAACAGGAACCGGTCGCCACATAGGTGGCAGGTCGCGCAACATGTTTATGCCCTAACCAGCACAACACCACTCCCTACCCAAGACCAAACAAGGGCCCTAAGCCCCAGCTGGCCCCAAGGGCGAGGCAAATGCCAAGCAGCAAGAACCCCTACGGGAGCAGCCCTCCCCCTCCCCCTCTCGGGGAGGGGAGAGCTGCGCGGACGAGCGGCGCAGCAGTAAAGTGTGATGTCTGCTTGTTTGCTTGTTTCCTTGGGATTATAGGGAGTTTTCTACCTATGTTCGTTTTTTTGTTTTAGTTTCTTACCATGTGGGGTTTGTTTTGTTATGACTACCTTTCTGGGTGCCTAACCCAGGTCGATGGCAGATAAGGAAAACCCACAATCACAGGGTGGTTTTCCAGGGTCATTTCTCCCTGAAACATCTCTGAAGGGGCCAGGTTCCTGCTCTGGTCCCTGGTAGGTCTGAATAAGATAGCTAAACTCCTGGTCTAATATAAAGCACATTAGCCTGATAAGCTCCAGGGAGCCATAGGGTTTTCCCACAGAAAAATTGTTGACAGAGTAACCGTCGAAGAGGGGTCAGCTCTGCCCCAGTTGTCAGTCGGGATTTGCCAAAAAGATATTATTACCTAATTATTTCAATGTGTCTGATTTTTTCTATTTTTTTTTTTTTTGCAGTAATATTATTCAATAGTGTGTAGTGTGATATATTTATATAATAAAATGTGTGAATCATCGCTATACTTAAAAGTAAATTGTGATCATATTAGTGATTCAATTATTATGTTCATAAAACAATAAACAAATAATTTTGCTGTTATTACACTATATACACAGGTTATATATAAGTTTTTGCATGTTTTGGTCACCACAGTGAACCACTAAGTTGGTATGGTGAGTGCAGACAATAACAGGTGGCCACACACAGCTCATGCTTCCTCCCTCCCTCACTGGTTCAAGGTCACACACACTAACATTCCTCCTTCAAGTATAATATTTGTAGTGTTATTACACTATATACACACATTATATATAAGTATCTACATGTTTTGTTCACCATAACTGTTCAACTAAGCTGGTATAGTGCCCCAAGAGCACAGTGGCCACCCTTACACAGCATGACAAATCATGCAGATGGCACCACCTCCCTCACCATAATGGCTTCTCCCAACACTCCTTTTGCTGTTATTACACATTATATATAAGCATTTACATTTGTGTTCACTATAGCGAACCACAAAGCTGGTATGGTGAGTGCAGACAGTAATAGGTGGCCACACAGATTCGACAGACTGTGTGACTGTTCGACTCATTTTACAGCCCCCCCTCCTTCAGCATTACTCATCCCACCATACAGCACAATGCTAATTAGCACAACAATCCTACTATTATCAGAATCCTGGTCATTTTTATCACAGTCAGGGGTCTTCTGTAATACTATCATCACTAAATAATACCAGTTACATATATTTTTGACATTTTTAGGCATTGCTGTGGTCAAAAGATGAACAGCAGTGCTGTGAGCTCATGCTGCGTGCATCTGCCTTGGTGGCTCTCTCAGTACCGAGGCTTTCAAACCCGGGAATGTTGCCCACGATTTTTTTTAAATGGTGTCTGTTTACTAGAGCCCTGAGGAAGCTGATGTGAACCCTGTGCAGCCACGGGCCATTTAAATCTTGTGCTGTACTCCAAAACGTCATATGAAGTGGTGCGCACTTTTGCATCAGTTACTCAACACATCATATGAAGTGTTGCTCAGTTTAAGGGTTAATCTCCACTTCAGTCAACCTGACACCATCAACATCCACTACCCCCACCTCTTCTATCTAAGTAACAATGCTCAATCAACAATAATAATCAGGTTAACAAGCGAATCAGAATTTCTCATATTGGCGAGAACAAACAAAATACTATAAACACTCGATTATCCGGGATTCGAATATCCGGAAAACGCCCTTATACCGCCAAAATTGTGACCGGATAAAGTTATCTCAATATCCAGCCAAAGTGTTCATGGGAGCCAGAAAATCGGGTGTGTGACTGGATAAAAAATTTGGGTTGGTTAACTTGCTGCCGATGTTGCACTATCTGGACAGTCAGCCGGACAAACAGTGAATTGTCCGGATACGAAAGCCAGGCAGCGGGCCGTACTGTATTAATCCCGTACGGCTGTGGCTCTAGACGCATGGTATAGGAGGGGGTGGGGTGGGTAGGTGGTGTCGGGAGAGAGGGGAGCGTTGGGAGGGACCACCTGGGGAATAAGGGGGATGTGGAGGGGCCTATACACTACAGTACAGGAATTACCATAAATATTAGAACAATTCATCATAGGCAAAAACAAAAGAAATACTAGTAATTATATAATAACAAATATATATGTTTCCTAAAAACAATTTGCACAGGCTGAAGTTTCCTTCAAAAATATTGTGAGTTTCTTCCTCCTGGCAGTCTACATAATGTGCCTCCTCCCTGCCCCAAGTGGACCTGTCCAGGCCTGGTCAAGCCATGTGCTCCCGTCCCTCGTGTTATACCACAGTGCCGCGCCATTAGTGAAATATTTTTTTAAATAACTTTTTTATTTTCATATAAACTTTGAACATTTTTGGCCAAGACTATGGTCTGGTAGCATCATCAATCGTTCTGGAGGTGTTAAGAGGAAGAAGGTTATCCTAACAATTAAAGACAAGTTACGTGTTATACAACTTTGTGAAAATGGCCGGTCGACTTCAAGTGAAGTGAAGCCTGAGGCGAACCAAAGAGCTGATCATACAACAGGCCCATGAACACAGAAGGCAAGCTAAACTTGATTCTTACATGGTAAGAAACTCAAGCCAAGCGCCTTCAACCAGTGAGGCGTCACAGGCAACCCAAGTGCCTTCAACCAGTGAGGCTTCAGCAGCTGGCAGTCAAAACTAACTTTGTTTAATGAGCTGTACAGTAATTTTAAGTGTTAATTTTAGTGTTGTGTTAGTATAAGTTATGTAAATTGTCAAGAATTCTTAACTTCAAGATGTGTGGCATGAATCAAGAAGACGAACAACAACAAGGTAAGTTGAGGGTTCTAGTTGAATATTTAATAATTATACAGTATGTGGCAAGGCAATTCAAATTATGTTGTTTGTAGTATAAAAATAGTTGGAAATGGTCACTTTTGGACTCAAGAGGTGAAAAAGTACTATTATCCAGAACACGTGATTATCCGGCTGGGGGTCCTTCCCATATAGTCTGGATAATCGAGTGGAGAAAGTACTGTCAAATTTTTGCCATGAAACTGTCAAATTTTCCCCCCACACATTTTCAGGATGACAAACTACTTATCTAGACACAACAATTTATTTGTTCAGTCATGGTCCCAAGGCGTCCAGAAAGTATGTTGTCATCCGTATTTACACAGCATATATATCACCTCACTACATATGGCAAGTGAGAAGGCCTAACTAACCCCAGGTCTTCGCAGTCTTGAGTTTCTTGTAGCTCTTCAGGCGGTTCTGATGTCACTGTGAACTTAATGATCCCTCGATTCTTCATGAGGTCAACCAAGGCTTGCATACGTTCAGGGTGCTGTTTCTTGTCAACAACAAATTCTGGAAATACAACAGACAAAATTAAAACCTGATATATGTCGGAAATTTCTGACAGCATTTATTAACTTTCAATACAAACATCAATTAAAATACTTTCGTTACTCATTCAGATAAACTGTATACGTGGCAACTCCCTCCAGAAAAAAGATTATGTTTACACATAGCAGAAATTAATTTAACACTCATATAATTAATCAATAAATAATTAATTTAACAGTCTCAGGACTGAAATTATAAAATTACACTTTACTAAATTATTAATTATCAAGTGAGTTAGAATAAACTCCTTCCAATTATTAATAAAGCTCAAAGAGAACCATTTTATGGGGACGCGTCCCGAGGGAGGAGGAGGAGGAACGCCATTAGTGCACTTACTCTGGAGAGAAAACATATCGTGTGGTATTTGGTGCCGGAATACTTAGCTCCCACCATGATTACTCACCCCACCTACAAGGCCAAGAAAGCAGCACAACTTACATTCATCACTATTGTTGCTATGACTTGACAGAACGATGGAAAGTGCAGAGTTTGGTTTTATCTATTAGCACATAATTTTTGGCCAATAATTTGTGTCTAGGATTAAATATTTATTCTGTAGGACAACACCACCCATAAGGGTAAGAGTTCTTAATCACAATTTAATCATGTATGTATTACAATTGAATTATATCTGTTGTCGATATATGTTACGATGTAACATTTTCACAAATAAATTGTGAGCACGTGAGGAATTAATCCGAGCTGTACTGTTCCACGACTAAACGGCCGCCATTAATTAATACGGGTCCAGGACGGACTGCACGTGGTGGACCGAGTCTGATGTTGGATGATCAGCTCACCCACTGCACAACAGCCAAGACTGTTACAAGTTACTAACACCTTGTAGTGTAAATTAATTCATTAGAAATTAGATCTACTGCTTAATTATGGAGATTAAAATAATATAAAAAACCCAGGTTGCATGAAATGGAAATTTGTAAGTGAAAATAAATCATTTTGATGAGATGTGCTTTCAGGTTGCTTGCATGGCACAACTTCCTTAGGAATGAACAGAGATGGGGCATTTTTGGTGTCTAAGGTCTCTTTGTGGTCTCAGGAATTAGTGATATTGTCCATGTTGACCTATGTTATCTCATTGAGCCAGAATCAATAGAGTACAGTAGTTGGTTGCTACTATGGGTAAGGGCCCTTGGCTAAGGAGGGGAAGTTGGTGTGTTGTGTAGTAAAGGGGTGGTCAACCCGGTGAAAGACCGTTAGGCTAACCCCCAAATACTTTACCCCACCCTAATTATCCACAGTGGCGGTCTCTGTTAAGAGCGATGGGAGAGCAGGCCTCGCTGATGGCTTGAAGCTGGTGGGGCAGCCAATGAAACCATGAGCGGGCAAGACTCAAGGCTCTGATTGGCTGATCAGAGGTGGTGTGGGTACCTCGAGGTGTCATCCGAGGTGGCGGACTGTTGCCTACGAGGGCATTAGGAACTGAATGCTTATGAGGGGAGGGCGCCTTGGTGCCACTAATCAAGACAACACTTTTTTTTAGCATCAGTTATATCATAACCAGGACAACTGCTAGTAACAGCATTGAATCATTGGTTACTGTAGGTGTCTGGATAATTGAGCACTGGACATTAGAAGACTACAGGACATTGAGCGGGAGATGCCAGCTCCACTGAAGTGGAGTCATTGGATTAAGTGGAGTTGCCATAGATTCAGTGCACAGGACAGTGACAGTGTATTCAAGTGACTAGTGTGTATGGATTAAAGGTACTTTTTTGTACTATCCTAAGAGCCAGTGACAAGGAAGTTGTTCTTAACCATACAGGTTCAGTGTATTGGGGTAGAGATATGTTGTATCATATACTCTGGTACTCTGTACCAGAGTATATGATACAACAGTCATGGTCCTGTACCAAAGAATATGATACAACAGGCAAGGTCCTGTACCAGAGTATATGATACAACAGTCAAGGTCTTGTACCAGAGAATATGATACAACAGGCAAGGTCCTGTACCAGAGAATATGATACAACAAGCAAGGTCCTGTACCAGAGAATATGATACAACAGGCAAGGTCCTGTAGCAGGGTGTATGATTCAACAAACTTATGATACATTACTATCTCTCTGTGGGAGATGTATAAAGAATTCAAACCATTTATTACTTTCTGCAATAGAACATATGAGATGCTATACTGCAGTTATTGCTAACCTTGTTTGAAGTTAAATTTAAGTTTACATCCTGGAGGAGCTTTTGGCAAAGACAATGGAGTCTCCAGCTGATCAGGTGGAAGGCCAAGAAATCCGTGGTAGTCGACAAAAAGAAACTCCACTAAAGGATCTTGAGTAACACTGGAGTCTGCATGTAAAATTAGGCTACACACTTCAATGTATATTCTTAACTGCTTATTCTGTAAAAAAGAAAAAACTGCATTAATGTAATGAAACGCCATTTTCTGGGCAAGTACTGAAGGTTCCCAGAGATATACCGAGCTGATATATATGTATTAGACTGTGGCATCAGTCAATTTGATTGGAGTTCTAGTCTACCAGGGACCACGAGGCAGAACCTGGCCTCCCCTCAGAGAGGCACGAGGAGCAATGGCCTATAGCTCCGTGCAGTCTGTGCAGTCTCCGTGGTGTAGTGGTAAGACGCTCGCCTGGCATTCGGCGAGCGCTTTGTCCTGGGTTCGTATCCTGGCCGGAGAGGATTTACAGCGTGCAAATCCTTAGCTGTAGCCTCTGTTTAACTCAACAGTAAGATGGGTACTCGGTTGTAAAAACGATTCTTCGCGGGGGTCGTATTCCAGGGAACATAGGATTAAGGACTTGCCCGAAATGCTACGCGTACTAGTGACTGTACAAGAATGTAAAAAAATCTTGTATATATATATAAAAAAAAAAAATAGAAACCCCCATGTGGTTGGAAGAATTCTATGTATGCTATCTACAGGGTTAGGCACCCAGAAAAGTAGGCATCCCAAAACAGATCCCAATTGGTGAAACATTGCTACCAAAAACCAAACTGCTAAGCAGAACTCCCCAATCTGAAAACAAGCAAACAAGCATAACGTCACACCCACCGCCGCACCACCTGTCTGTGCAGCTCCTCCCTCTCTGGGAGGAGAAAGGCGGAGCCCAAACCCCCGCACCGACTATCCAACCTCAGTTCAAAGGCTGAATGTCAAAAAGGAAAAAAAAAAAAAAAAACTAACGGGAGGGGGAGAGAGTTGCCGGGGAGCCTCCAGGACTCACCCAGAAAATGACGTTTCATCACATTCAACGCTCGTTTTCTGTGGAGAGCCCCTCCAACTCCTCGGACCTATCTAAAAAGAAAAGAGGGACTACCCTTTTTTGGGGCCTGACAGCTGAGTGGACAACCTTTCGGATTCGTAGTCCCGAGGTTCCGGGTTCGATCCCCGGTGGAGGCGAAAACAATTGGGCAAGGTTTCTTTCACCCTGATGCTTCTGTTCACCTAGCAGTATATAGGTACCTGGGAGTTAGACAGCTGCTACCGGCTGCTTCCTGGGGGTGTGTAACAAAAATGAGGCCTGGTCAAGGACCGGGTCTCGGGGACGCTAAGACCCGAAATCATTTCAAAATAATCCGCGAGGCGGGCCGCCACTCACACCTCGACTCGAAGTCAAGACAGCTGGCTGCAACCCAAAGCGACACACGCCCAACTAGGGCCAGGAACAATAACGAAATAACGGGCAGAGGGGTTTGGAGGTCGAACAGGACCCTGTTCGACCTCCAAACCCCCGTGCCCTAATGTCAGCCTAAGACATATTTCCAAAAATGGCAGTCAAAGCAGCAAACTTGCAAATGTCATGGACGTGAGGATAGACTGCATGCTGGTTGGACCGAAGAACCCTGCAGATGACCTGGGAGACCCGAGCCCAGGAACAGGGAAGAAGAAAAACTGGGTCAACCCAAAGTATGTCCCCATCCACCAAGGCCGTGGCGTGCAATATATCGCCACGGCGACATATGATAATACTGTAGAAACCCGCTAATCCGGGATCCACCAATCCGTAAAATGCCCAAATCCGGCAAAAATCGAGGCCGGATAAAGTTATCTCCCTATCCGGCCAAAATGTCCATGGAAGCCGGACTAGCAAATATTTGGCCAGATTAGAGATCTGAGCCGGTGAACTTGCTACTGACGATACCCAATCCAGACAGTAAGCCAGACAAGCAGTGAATAATCTGGATCAGAAAGGCAGGCATCAGTCCGTACCCGAAATGCCATACCGTACCATATTAATCCCGTACGGCTGCGGCTCGAGGCGCGGGGTGTAGGAGGGGGTGGGGTGGGTGAGTGGTGTTGGGTGAGAGGGGGAGCGTTGGAAGGGACTGCTTGGGGGATAAGGGGGATGTGGAGGGGCTTATACAGTACAGTATAGTAATTACCATTAATTTTAGAACAATTCATCACAGTCAAAAACAAAAGAATTATATAATAACAAATACAGTATTGTATACAAGTTTCATACAAACAGTTTGCACAGGCTGAAGATTCCTCCAAAAATATTGAGTTTTCTTCTGCCTGGCAGCCTACATAACCTGCCTGCCTACCCCAAGTGGACCCATCCAGGCCTGGTCAAGCCAAACAGCCCATGTGCTCCCGACCCTCGCATTATACCACAGTGCTGCGCCATTAGTGCACATTTTTTTAAATAACTCTTTTGTTTTCATAGTAACTTTTATCATTTTTGGCCAAGACTATGTCTGGTAGCAGCATCAATCACTCTGGAGGTGTTAAGAGGAAGAAGGTTACCCTAACAATTAAAGACAAGTTGTGTTATACATCTTTGTGAAAGTTGCCAGTCGACTTCAAGTTTTGCCAAGGACTTTAATATAGGCACTAGTACTGTTTTTAATATAAGGAAACAAAAAGTAATTAATATTATAAGGAATATATAAAGAATAGTTCCTTAATATATAAGGAATATTTTCATTAAGTTTAGTAGTGGTCACCTGTGTGATTCTAAAGGTATTAACATATATAGAATGATGAATGGCTGGCATGTAAGATTGGCTGGATGACTGTATACATATGGCATAAGCTCTGTGTAGCGTTCAGTCAGGTAAAGTAATATGCAGTGTCAATGCTTCATGTCATCTATCATGTATGTGCCACAGTAATTACAACATAGCAAGTATATTACCTGTTGTTTTTTTGAGGCAACAGCTACTACTCCTTCAGAATCTGTTGCTAGACTGCACTCTGATGATGAAGGTTGTCTCCCAGAAGCCTGACTTTTATTACTGCTTGTCTGAGGACTACAACTCTCGGGAGCCTGGCTTCCACTACTGCTTGTCCGAGGACTACTGGCAGAATACACTTCCTGCACATTCTTGCTATGAACACCCTGTTGATCAAACTATTTTTTAATAACTTTGTCTACAAAAATGAAAATGAATTAATAATGAAATTGCAATCAGACAATACAATTGTACACATGTTACTCCTGGTAAACAAACAAGGTTCTAACAAACAAATACAAACCAAAGTGCATTATGTACAATATATGATGATGCACAAACTACATTATAATTACTGAGACAAGGATGTAAAAAAATCTTTTACCTCTTTATAACAAAGCATTCAATAACACCATTTTGTTATTTTTTTGGCATTCACTAGCAAATATTCACATTTTGATCCACACCACATGCACTACCAATCATGTAACATAGAACCACTCCCATGCACTACAGCCAAACCACTTGGGTTGGATGGTAGAGCGACGGTCTCGTTACATGCAGGTCAGCTTTCAATTCCCGATCGTCCAAGTGGTTGGACACCATTCCTTCCCCTGTCCCATTCTAAATCCTGACCCCCTTCCAAGTGCTATAGTCAAAATGGCTTGGTGCTCTCCTCTGATAATTCCCTCCCTCCCATACACTACCAATCATGTAACACAGGACCACTTGCATACACTACAAATTATGTGACACAGGATCACTCCCATACACTACCAATCATGTGACACAGGACCACTCCCATGCACTATCAATCATGTGACACAGGACCACTCCCATGCACTACCAATCATATGACACAGGACCACTCCCATGCACTACAAATTATGTAACACAGGACCACTCCCATGCACTATCAATCATGTGACACAGGACTGCTCACATGCACTACCAATCATATGACACAGAACCACTCTCATGCATGATCAGTCATCAGACACATGACCACTCCCATGCACAACCAGTCATCAGATAAAGGACCACTCCCATGTATGACCAGTCATTAGACACAGGACCACTCCCATGCTCCAGCAGTCATCTGACACAGTACCACTCTCATGCATGACCAGTCATCAGACACAGGACCACTCCCATGCATGACCAGTAATCTGTCATCTTTGCAAACCCAGTAAATTCCTTGCCTGTTTGTGCATCCTGAAGACAATTCTGCACAGCTCAAGTGAAATCTTATGTTACAGGTGCAACACAACTGTACATAAGCAACAACCAGTTTAGTACACTTGTACATATACATGACTGCACACAAGTAACAGGAAGTTTAGTACACTTGTACACATACACCACTATACATAAGTAACAACCAGTTTAGTACATTTGTACACATAGAGACCTATACACTAGTAACACAAAAAATTAGTAATGTAAGTTCTTACCGTGCTGCTCTTTATGCCACCATTACTTCTTACGTCTTCCTTGCCCTTAACTTCAATAATTAACTTTTCAGGAGCTGAAAAAACAAGCATTGAATGTAATGAAACTCCAATTTCTGGGTGAGCCTTGGTGGTTCCCTGAAGCTCCCATCTCTGATGTAGGTGTCAACTACTTAGTTTCATTAGTCACAGAGTTCTCTGACCTACCAGGAACCCAGAGTCTGGTCACTTCACAGAGGCGAAGGGAGCTGTGGTATTTATATAATAAGTCATTCACTTGTGCCACCACTGAGGAAAGCACCCAGGAAGTCGGTGATTCAAAAGAAACCACAGCTAACTGCCTCCATGACCTGCAGGCTTGAAACCAGCCATAGAATTCCCCAAACTATGTAGACAAACAATCGATAATGTTATAAGCCAGTGCGCGCTTGTTTGCCCTCCTCCCTTGTTTAGGGAGAGGAGGGGTGCAGGTCACTGCTCACAGGCCGCTCAGTTCGACAAATGATGTAAGAACCCGACTCCCTGGTGAAAAGAGGGTGTCAGGGAGCCACTGGGGTACACCTATTAATTGGGGTTTCATTACATTCAATGCTTGTTTTCTGAGGGGAGTTTCTTGTAGCTCCCTGAAGATAAGTACCCAAAGAGAAGGAAAAATTGGGCACTTACCAAGGAGGAGGGAGCACCATGGGTATTAAAGGGAAAATGAGATCGGCTAGAAAGCCTTGGATCGGCCTAGAAAGCCGATCCAAGGTCATACAGGGGCACTGAGGCCCTGGAACATTGACCAAGTACAGGGTTGCCAACACTGTTTGACCTGAATCCCTGTGCCCGAATATCTGCCTAGGACACATTAGCAAAAACCAAGGAAAGAGCGGTATACTTGCAGACGTCATGGGCACGAGGGTAGACCGCATTCTGGCTAGACTTAACACTTTGGTCGGGCGGGAAAGGAATTTGCGTCCAGAAATTACTCTACGGATGTCCGGCAAACATAGAATGCTCCAAATCACATGTGCATTTCCATAGGCCATTGCTCCTCGTGCCTCTCTGAGTAGGGCTAGATTCTTGCTCGTGGTCCCCGGTAGGCCTAAGAACTCCATTCACACTGACTAATGCCAAAGTCTAATAGTTCCATATCAGCCTGGATAAGCTCTGGGGAGTCGAAGGGGCTCCCCCCAGAAATGTGTGTTTGGATGAAGGCACAGTGACATGGAGGGGCTGTCTAACTTTCAAGGTTAATAATCCAAATAAACCTGATAGGTATGGAGTAAAGCTGTACATTCTGGCTGAATCGCATACTGATTACATCTATGATTTTGAAGTGTATGCAGGAATTGGGAAGACGATTCAAATGGTTATGAGCTTGATTGAATCACTGAAGAACAAAGGTTACCATTTCTATATGGATAACTACTATAACTCGGTTCAACTGAGTGAAAAGCTGCTTGAACAAGGTGTATACACCTATGGTACTCTCAGATTGCAGCATAGTGCACCAAAACATCTTCAGCTACAAGCAACGGGTAAACTGGCATTAGATAAAACTGTATTCTGAAAGAAGGACAATACTTTTATAATTCTGTGGAAAGATAAGCGAGTTGTTACACTCATCACAACTTGCCACAATGCAGATACACAAGAAGTGGAACGAAGGAAACGAATATGAAAACCTGACGAAACATCTTCATTGCAACATATCACTGTGAACAAACCAAAGACAATCTGTGACTACAATAACATGAAAGGTGTTCATCACTTCGACCAAATGGTCAAATGGTTGGGCATGGTTGAAACGAAAACACCCAAGTGTACCCACTCCGAGATGACCTGACGAAGTGCAGGGGAAGAAGCCTGCCCCACTAGCCCCAAACCCCCAAAAGGAGGAGGAGCCACCCAACGCTACCACAGGCCAGATGACACGACTGAAAATGCCCACAAATCGTGGGACCAAGCACTGTACACTCAGAAGCTGGCACCAATGGCCCACCTCGACCAACGGAACCCCGAGCCCTGGCATGACCCTTCCGAGAAGGCTGAGAACAGTCAGAGAACCAACAAGTTTGACATAGGATGACAACTAGACGAAGCCGCTTGCAGAAACTGCTAGACAGCAGACTCCGCAAACAGCAACGGTCACACTATAGCCGCATGCCCAGCCCGCTTCGACGCCCAGTAACCAAGACTGAACTCTCGCTTCCCCATGTGGTTGCAGTCTGAGTAAATAACTGATCATACAGTAACAAGTATTAGTCTTCCAAGACACACCTTTACTTGCTACTTGAACAAGTTCTAAGTACAACTAACTTCTAGCTTTACATTATACTAATATCAAATTATCATACAACAAAGTTATTCCTACGTCTGGCAGGGAAGACGGGACCATCAATTAAGCAAAGTTACAGATCCCTTGAATATAAGTCTGTACTGTTAATTAAATATTCCTCTTACATAACCCAACCTATCAATTAATGTTCTATAATTTACTTAATCAAAAACCCACACATAATCCCTAACAGTCAGGGTCTATCACTACAAAATACTTAAGTGAATGGTCCCTGCACGAATATAAACAGAACACTATTGAGCCTGGTTTCTTGGCAGTGCCAATCGAGAACTCAGGGTCATAACAAAGGCTATGAAAACCTAAGAGCCAGGGCCCAAGCGGATTCCAAAAAGAGAGTGAGCATAGTCTGACGGTACGTGAGGCGAGAAGCAAAGAACAGACAAATACTGTCTCCTTCAGGATAGGCGCAAACAGCTTCAACAGCACGGCCGATGATTTAGCCGCCGAGTCAAGCACTCCAGACAAAGGTCCCGCACTCAACGCCTCCACATCCTCTGCAAGCAAGGTTGAAGACAGCTCAAGAAGGGAAAGGAAGCACAAGACCGAAGTTAAATGCCCACGGGTGTGCAAATCCTCCGCAACCAAGGATGCCAAAAGGGTAGCAATCTGCACGTGGAGCTGCACCAGGCCAACATCCAAAGAAAGCACAGGGGCAAACAAGCACGCATTAAGGCGCTCAAACTTGCCCCCCAGATAAACCTGCAGAACGGTAGAAGTTTCTTGCCACTCCAGCGTGCGGGGTCCGACAGAACCCATGCCACGCCCCAACGAAAAGAATGGGCAGTCTGCCAGCCAGGAAAACTCCGGAACCTCCAAACACACCCAAAACAGAACTTAAACAAGGACGGACCCATCATTGAGGCGGAATCCGGGTCTTGCAGGAGGTACAGAGCCAGAGCCACCAAAAACCTCCTTAGGCGAGATCTGAGAGGCAGAAAACCACCGGAATGACGGAGCTGAGGAACCCAAGCAAGCCCAGAACTGAACCAGAGGAGGAGCCGACCCCAAATCATACTCATACAGGGAAGGGGTGGGTCGGGGGGGGGGGGGGTAAGAAAACCCCTCCCCAATGCAACAACAAGCCCCGCGAAGAGGGAACCAACACCCAAGCGGGATCAAATGGGGCCCAAGGCCCCCAGGTCAACTTTTCCCCAGCCCATAAGTTGGGGCCCGGGGGGAGGGCGGTCCTCCATACCCTTTACCTCTGAAAAAAAAGGCAGAGTCTAGGGAAAAGGCTGAAAATAAGGGGGCCTGCTGGTGGGACCCAAAAGCGTCAGTAGGAGGAGCCGGCTCGAATGCCTCCATCACCGACCCGAATGGGGCAGCCCCCAAAACTGCTCGAGTCTCAATATCAATTAAACTCTGCCCTGACTCCAAAACTCTCAGATGTTTGGGAGCCGGTAGCAGGGAAAGGAGGTGCAGGATGAACAACACGGGGAAGGACCAGGGAACGTGGATTGAACCAAAGTCAAAGCTACTAACGCCCCTAGGTCCAGGTCCCTATAATCAAAGCGGAGCAGCTACGGGTAATCTGGGTGGGAAACCAACCTAGCATGTTGCAGCAACCTAAACCTAGCATGCTACATGGATGGTACCTGTACCCTAACAGTAATGTCACCAGAATAATATTGGAGAACAAGCAGAAAACAGGACTCGCAAAGACTCCGGGATCAAAGGTGTCGTTGACCCCAGTAGGCAACTTGACGAAGGCAAAAGTGATGACTGTCACCCTGAGACATGGGCACAAGGGAGCCGGTCGGCCGAGCGGACAGCACGCTGGACTTGTGATCCTGTGGTCCTGGGTTCGATCCCAGGCACCGGCGAGAAACAATGGGCAGAGTTTCTTTCAACCTATGCCCCCTGTTACCTAGCAGTAAATTAAGTACCTGGGTGTTAGTCAGCTGTCACGGGCTGCTTCCTGGGGGTGGAGGCCTGGTCGAGGACCGGGCCGCGGGGACACTAAAGCCCCGAAATCATCTCAAGATAACCTCAAGATAACACAGCAACTTTCAAACCCACACAAGCAAGCTGCAACTTAGAAGATGCATGCATTAGTCCACCGAGCTCTGACAGGGTTTTCCAGAGCCTGTAGGCTGACTGCTACAGGAAGCCCGGGCAAGGTGCTGCTAAACCGTTAGAACACCAAACTAACAAGGGGGAGATCAAAACACTGAAATGTATAACGTGTACAATCACAGGGGCCTAGCAGAGGGCAACCAAATTGATATAAGTGGAACTATAGTCACACCAGGCAGATCCCCACCAGACAAGAATAACAAAAACAAAAGAAAAACCCTGCAAAAATACAACGTCCCAAAAGGAAACAGGAACCGGTCGCCGCATAGGTAGGCAGGCTTCATAACACCTTGGCACCCCCAACCAATACAATACTACTCCCTACCCAAGGCCAAACAAGGGCCACAAAACCAGAGAGAAGCTGAAACTGAACCTCGCTAAGGCAAAACGTTTAAATGAGAGCAGGAATGAAGAAGAAATCAATTCTTTTTCTACAAAGTGATAGGAGTAGGCAGACTAGTAATGTGGTACATAAAGGCAAACCAACAAAATCAATAGAGGGGGGAGTGAAGAATAAGGAGAGGGGGAAGTTCCTGAAGATTGCATACACCAACATAGATGGAGTGAGATCGAAGATACTGGAGTTAAGTGATGTAATACAGCTGCAGACACCAGACATTGTTGCACTCATGGAGACAAAACTTGAAGATGTTATTTTAAATGAGGTCATATTCCCAATGCCAATACTCAATTTGGAGACGGGACAGAAAAATTAGGAAAGGCGGTTTTAGTTTCTTACCATGTAGGGTATGTTTTGCTATGCCTACCTTTCTGGGTGCCTAACCCCGGTAGATGGCAGATAAGGAAAAACCCCAACCACAGGGGGGGGGGGTTCCGGGGATATTGCTCCCTGAAACCTATCCCAAGGGGACCAGGTTCTGACTCATGGTCCCTGGTAGGCTGAACTCCATGGACTAATGCCCTGGTCTAATATATCACACATTAGCCCGATAGTTCCAGGGAGCCGAAGGGGCTTCCCACAGAAACAACATCCTACCTGAATGTTCTCACTCCTTTTACATGAAACTGTAGATCTTATCTATGCCAAAAACTTAACTGCAGTAGCTAGGAAAGATAATTACTTTAGTGCATAATTCAACATAATTTTTTATATAAAAAAAAGAATTACATTTTTGGAATATCTTAATCTGGTGTGATTCATCAGTGTCTGTGTCAGGCTCATTAGATTCTTCAAACATCGTGTCACTGCCGTCTTGTGAAGATGACGTCAAATTTTCTTCACTCGAACATGCTCGCTGTTTGAAAACCTGCGATACAAAATTATTACAATGAGACCCAATGATAACTGTATTGTATTATGATGGATCATAGCTAATTATCAAGTTCCATATACAGCTAACAGCCAAGATTTTGTATTGTTGCAGTAATTAAGAACTTGAATAACTATTTACAAATATATCATGAAAAGACAACTACCATATCTAGCTCCCTGGTACACTGACTCAGGTATTACATGGAGACAGTACCATAACTACAATAGAGGGTACATTGAATGCACTAGGAAGTGATATGATGGAGGCTGACTCCATACAGTTTCAAATGTAGATATGATGGAGATCAAGAAGCTCAGGAATCTGTACACTAGTAGATTGACAGTTGAGAGACAGGGCCAAAGAGCCAAAGCTCTACCCCCACAAGCACAACTAGGTGAATACAACTACCAGACCTAGACTATCAGACTACCAGACCTAGGGAAGTAACAGTGGATACATGATGATGATGCAGGAGGAGGGAAGTAACAGTGGATACATGATGATGATGCAGGAGGAGGGAAGTAACAGTGGATACATGATGATGATGCAGGAGGAGGGAAGTAACAGTGGATACATGATGATGATGATGATGCAGGAGGATAGTAACAGTGGATACATGATGATGATGCAGGAGGAGGGGAGTAACAGCAAAATGAACAACATGAACTAATAATGAGTGATATAGAGTTTGCCAAGTAACACAAAGAAGTCTGTGCTTTCACATATTATGAGTAAATACACACGCTCTTATCACATTCCTTGCCAACTGATTTCCATAATATTATTCTCCTCATGACCTTCTACTCTGTATAACTTCTACTACTCACGCATAACATTTAACATAAATGTAATCCTTCATACAAGTAGGCAAAGGCATTAATTTTGGTAAGCATTACAAAAAAGCACCTGTGATTGGTTGGCGAGATGTCCTCCGAGCGTAGCGTGACTTTCTATAATAACTGAGTTTCTACTGTTTTCACCAGTTGAGTGCCTTGTTGGTCTGACTGTGGCTGCATTCTTGGGTCTGGCAGCTCTTCTATCCATCACAGATGATGACTTGCATTTATCATGACCGCCTGATTGGTCACATCTAGAACTATACTTCTTTTTCGATGTGACACTTCTGTGGTTTTTACAGTCATCATTATCACTAGTTTGATTTATATTGGCTTTAAAGAGACTTTCTTTATTATATGATTGAGGTGAACTGGACTGTAAACACTGCTCTTGAAACGTAATACTGTCAGTGTTACTTGGAACATGCATTACTGGTTCATTTCCATTAATTTGTGAGGATGATTCTAATGACACCTGGTGAAACTTGGTTTCTTCGCTTTCTTGTGGATTTGCTTCTTGTTTCTCAATTAGAAGGGATGCATGTGATTGAGATCTTGGTGCTGGTATTGGACATTTTAGATTTGATGGTTGTTCCATACTACTTCGTCTTCTGCGCGTGTCAGATGGGAACAAGATACCAGCCGAGCTCTCATCACATTCCTTATTAACAATAGTCTTGCTTTTTACTGGATTTTTTGACTTGATAACTGTTGAAGCCTGCAATAATAAGATTATAGTTTAATTATAATATTGTACTGAATATTTTAACCAAAAATACTTCTGAATTTCTCTACACCAAAAACTTTTCTACACCAAAAAACCAGTGCTGAATGTAATGAAACACCAGTTTCAGGTTGAGCCCCGGAGGTTTCCTGAAGCTATCACACTAATTAAGTGCCTTACTACTAGTTGTCATCACTCGAGGAGTTCTATTGGTCTACCGGGAAACACGAGCCAGAACCTGGCCCTCTCAGAGAGGCACAGGGAGTGATGGTCTATGAACACTTTACATTTAAAGTTTGTCATCTCTCCCATCACCAGAGAAGCACGCAGATGAAATAAAACAAACTACTGCATGGTTTAAAAATGAAACCGAAGCCCCAACATTGTTAAAAGAACTCCCCAACAAGGAAAAAAACAAAAATTTCATTAAACTAGCCTCCTGCTAGTTTCCCCCACCTTTTCCCTCATATAGGGGAGGGAGCCAGCCCAGGTCAGCCAGCCTCCTACCATCCACTTCTATAAAGATAAAACATGCCGACGCCCTGGGAGTAGGTGGATGTCAGGGAGCCTCCAGGGCTCACCCAGAAACAGGCATTTGATTACATTCAACACTGGTTTTCTGTAGAAGCCCTGAAGCTAACTACTCAGTGAAGGACAAAACGGGAGCACCAATCAGGGAGACGATAGCACGGCAGGTATCAAGTCAAAGAAGTGACAGGCAACCAAAAAACAGCACCCAATGGCACACAGGTCCACCAAGGACTCACAATGGGCATAAGACACTGGGTGCAAATACACCCCATGGACCCAAAAAATGACCCAAGAACATGCCCGAACACAGTGACAGAGAACCGGACATAAGGAGCATAAAGACAGACCATAGGCTGGCAAAAAGGAAGGACACAGAGGACAACTTGAGAAGCACAAGCCCGGAACAGGGAACCAGAGAAACCAGAGAACCGACAATAAGGCCACCAAAACAGAACAGGAGGCACAAAGGCAGCAGCAAAACCAACACCAAACAAAGTGCAGCATGCACCCCCAGCCGAGGTAACCAAGCAACCATGAAAAAAAAAAACTCCCCCGGAAGACTGCTGACCTAACAGTTACCAGAAAAGGAGCCGGCGGCAAATTAGAAAATGCCCACTAGGGCCAAGAAAACAAAACATGGACTTAAAAGGGCCAACACAAATGAACAGAAGGAAAAGAAAGAACCCGGTCCAGAGTCCATGTAAGATCAAGAGAAGCCCAAGCATGCCAGAAGTAAAAAGGAACATAAGAAAGCATGCGAAATGGGGGCAAAAGTAAGGCGACTCTGAAGGCAAGCATGAGTAGCCCCGCCAATGTTGCACAAGAAAAGGCAACAGCAATCAGTAAAAGACACTGATCAAGAAACAGCCACAAAGGACAAAACAACCCGGTCAGAACCAAAGAATAATGACAAAGGTGAAAAGACTGCCAAGAGAGTGCATACTGTTGCCAGAAGAACTGCAGGTGGGACAGGACACCTTCAACCAGCCACCTGAACACCACAGAGAGGGGTGAACCCCATGCGTCAACACACCAGACAAGATGAGCAGAAGAGAAGACGAAATCAGTGGTGAACATCACTCGGCTAATCACCTGAAAGAGGCGGAACTGCAAAAAATGCCCAGGACACCGAGTAAGCAGCACCTGAAAATTAAGGCAGGGTCAACATCCAAGGAGCCAGAATAACACTTTCCCTGCCACAGGAGACAGGGAAAGTGATGCCGACCAAGAATCCCAAATTAGGCCCAACCAGGTCCGAACCGGAGACGGAACCAACTGGGACTTCGGCCAGGTCACCAGGAACCCGAATCTGGTGAGCTGAGAAAGAACCAGATCCCTGGCTAGCAGGCAAGTAGACCTGCTGGGAGCCCAAACCAGCCAATTGTCAAGGTAGGCCAACACCTGAAGACCAAACAAATGAAGATGGACCACCATGACCTGAGTTACTCTTGTACCTTCGCATGAAAATGTGAGGTGCCAGATTCAGCCCAAACGGGAGAGCCTGGAAGTGATAAACCTGTCGCCCTACAATGAAACCTAACCAATCCCTGAACCCCGAATATATAGGGATGTGCCAATAAGCATCCTTGGGGTCCAGGGAAATCGCCCAAGTGCCCAGCTCCAGAATAAGCTGGACTTGGAAAAATGTAATTATCTGAAAGGAGGGACAAGGTATCACCTGGTTCAGGTGGGTAAGAACCAGAATGTATCTCAGATCCCCGCAATCCCGTTCCGGGACTGTAAACAGGCGGGAAACCCAGAGAAGAGATGAGGTCGTTTCAACCATGGCCAAAAGCACCCACTCCGAGATAACCAGACAAAGGGAAGGAGAAGAGGCCAGACCCAATAGCCCCAAATCCCCCAAAAAGTAGGCAGGACAACCTAATGCCACCAAAGGGAGCAAGACATGATCCAAAAAGCCCACAAACTGTGGGACCATGTGAGGGCAAAATGAGCCAGTCTTCCCACCATCACCCCATCAAAGGGGGGACCTGCAAAAGGTCTGCCAAGAACCATGAGAACCAGACTTCCACACAGAGCAAACGCTGTGTCAATCAGACAAAGGACGAAAAGGCAAGAAGAAACACACCCAATCTGGCTGCCAGCACCACAGACACAAAATGGGGCAGATCGGGGGCATCCAACCAGGCACAAAACTTGGCACGCTGCAAAACAGAAAACCTGCAATGTAGAGTGACAGCTGCTTGATACCTCTGGACTTCCATAGAGAAATGAGTGACCTGGAGCACACAGGGTGGAGAGGGAGGGGGAACAAGTCCAACATGACTCAGGCTAAAGGTGTCACTGACCCAACAGGCAGCATGGCAGAAGCGGAAAGTATGAATGTCACCAGGTGGCACAGACGATGAACAACCCTCAAATTCGAACAAGGCAAGAGTGGACTCAGAAGAGGTATCCATAGTACAACCAAGCCCACAGGGATTTTTCAGGGCCTGCAAGGTGAACGAGTTCTGTAGGAAGCCCAGGCAATGGGGTCCACTATGCTGTAAACCCTATCAATCCAGGCAACCTGACTACCCAAAGCCAAAGGAAAAGCCAAGGGGACAGAAAAGGGGTTCCACTGAACATGTCCTAGGCTAGTCTAATAAGTCAAAAGACAGAACTCCCAAGCCAAAGATGCAAATGAACACAAAATATAAATGATGAAAACACCAGGAAAACCCAAAGACCAAACCATGGCAAATGTGCAGCCTAAGTTATGTCCTAACTACTTAATAACAGGTTGGGCAGACTGCAGTGCACACCACCAGCCAAAAAACACTGAAACCCAAGAAAAGACAGAAGTCACAGACCACTGGCTTACCTGACGGGTGAGGACCACCCCAAGAGAGGCAGTTCCCTAAAGGGTGTGTGTGTCCTGAACACCCCAGGGAAGGCAACCCTGACTGTGCAAGGGTATTTTTAGGCCCTGCTCAAATCAATTTTTTATATAGACAGACCCTAGGAAGGACCCTTATACAGTATTGCATTTCTGAGGTTTGGGGACTTCGTATAAACCTTGAATTACGTTGGTCGTGGAAGCTGACTGATAAGGATCTCCGAACAATTGGACATTTTATCTGGTAAAGTGCACCCCAGATCTCGGATGCCTTGCTCACATCATCTTAGGTAAAGTGGAAGTATTTGTGAGCAACATTGCACAGTTGCAACCCTAAGTAAAATCGACATTCATCTACCAATAGTCAAGAGAGTAAGGTTATAATTTTGCTCATTCATCTATCCATAGTCAGGATAGTAATGTAATAATTATGCTCTTTCATCTACTAATAAAGTAGATATATTCATATAGCCATTTATCTTGGCTATACAGTGTCTACATCTCCCGTGTACAACATTCTAGCCACCAGAACTGTATTAAGAATAATTCAAATGTTTGGCTAATATAAAATGCCATAAACTATACTGAAAACTAGTTGCTAAATAATAGAATGGATTAAGATAATAATAATACAATAGAGAAATCAAAGACCTTTGGAAAAAACTGCTGCTGCTGTGTTGTCACGAGGACCCCGAGAGTGCGGAGATGCTGGGCAATAATCTCCTCACAAGGTCGTTGCAAATGAAACCAGTAATTCATTGTACCAATCACCTGTTCACAACAGAGGTGATTAATTAATATTATCACCGTACAATATATTAAATATCACCATTAATATTACCGTATATTAAACAGCTGTATATTCTCTTTTGTAACAAGCTGGTGTTAAGCTCCGCAATGCTCAAAATATCTAAATACAGTGGGGCCTCGATTTACGATGGTAATCTGTTCCCAGAGACGTGTCGTAAGTCGAAATATCGTAAGTCGAAGCGATTTTTCCCATAAGAAATAAAGGAAATTGAATTAATCCGTTCCCCACCCTCCAAAATATTAACTTACAAATACATTTTATACTGAATACAATTTTTTTCTCTAACTACAATACAGTACATATGTTTATCTTACCTTTATGGAGGACTCTTGATAGTGTATGGAAGATGGTGATGAAGGGGGGGAAGGAGGAGAGGTATTACTGTTTGGAAAGGGAGTCTCCTTCCATTATAACATCAGACAGTGATGACTTTTCTGCGATACACTCTGGCATGTTTTGCCTGCATACCACTAGGACCTGCTTGTGGCTCACTGCTTGCTTGTCTTACTAAGAATCTGTCTAAAGACACTTGTTTTTCCCTACATTTTAACACTTGTCTGTAGTAAGACATCACATTGTCATTTAAAGGTCAATGCAATGGCCTGCTACAGCTTTATCTGGGTGAGTTTTTTCAACAAAACTTTGCAGTTCTTCCCATACTTCACACATTTTCTTAATGAGGAAGGGACATCCTCTACTGCCTCTTCTCACAACTGTTTTCTTAGGTTGAATCTTAGGTTGAACCTTGAACCTTACCTTACCACCGACTTTCTTGGGACCCATGACATGATATATAATAATCAGTTTTATGTTCAAAAAGCAAAAAATCACCACAAAAATGGAATGTCTTATAGGCGTGATCGTCACTAAGCGAGCAGCTCTAGTAAACTGAGGCAGGTCCGCCCGCGTGACTGGGAACCACGCGCTCGGTCGACCCAAACGTGTACCAACAAATATCGTTAGTCGACGACACTATTGTAAGTCAAGTCGCATTTTTCTATCAAATTTACATCGTAACTCGAAATTATCGTAAGTCGGGGCAATCATAAATCGAGGTGCCACTGTAGTTTTAAAGAGTATTTATTTGTTAGTTTTGGTGATTTTTTTTTTAATAGAAGGACAAGCAGTTCCCACCTAACAAACAGGATGCATTCCAAAAGGTGTTCTAAAGTTGGCCATTCTTAAGTCACAACACAACACATAGTATATATACTATGGTCCTCATCGTTACTATTAGTACTTTACTACCAAAACAGGAGGATGGGCTGTTATATGATACCATAATTAATAATGATTTGCAATCCAATTGATTGCCATGATGTGGTACCTGTCCTGGCTCCAAGTTTAGTCCTGCAGGCAAGTGCTGCATGTCTTCAGCATCATCAAAGTTCACCAACACTTGTACAGTGCCATGAAGGGTATTTCGTGGGTGGTCGAGCACTTCACTAAAGGTCAAACGGCATTCACCAACTTTAGCTGGATGACCCGAATCATGAAGAATATACACAGACACTGCAAGAATTCCAGGATTGAATATAATGAAATTCCTCATTCTAAACCACCACCGGATACACTTGCCACCAGATGGCAGCAGAGGTGACCCAGGGTCTCTGCCAAATTGTGAATGATTTTAAGGAGTGGAGTACATGGCTAAGCAGGATTTTAAAATACTGCAGGTAGGGAGGACGACAACCAATGAAGAACTTGAGAGGCTACACAATATATCTAAATGTGCAGAAAGGAGATAAAAGCACAGCTGCCTTCCCCAATAACCTGGATGGGGCAGTCCCCAAAGATGTTCCCACAAGCACCCCACATGCAGCTGATGAGTCACCCTAATAATGAAAAAGAATAATATTAAAAAAAGAATAATAATTCTTTAATAAGAATTCCAGAGAACAACATAGAGCACATAGAGGTGTCTAGAGATGAAGTGGAAAACATGCTCTTGGAGCTAAGTAAGAACATAGCAGTTGGTCCAAATGGAGTTTCACCATGGATTCTGAGAGAATGTGCACCTGAGCTCAGCATTCCACTTCAAATGATTTTTCAGGCATTCCTGTTTACAGGAGTTGTAGCTGATGTGTGGAAAAATCTAACATAGTTCCAATCTACAAAAGTGGCAGCAGGGAAGACCCTTAATTATAGACCTGTATCAATGACAAGTGTAATAGTCAAAATACTGTATTGGAAAAAAAATTAAAACTAAATGGGTAGAACACCTGGAGAAAAACAATATAATATCAGACAGACAGATTGGTTTTCGATCTGGAAGATCTTGTGTAACGAACTTACTCGGTTTCACAGAGATCTTAGAAGGAAAGAGATGGTTGGGTTGACTGCATCTATCTGGACTTCAAAAAGACTTTCAACAGTTCCACATAAGAGGTTGTTCTGGAAACTGGAATATATTGGAGGGGTGACAGGTATGCTTCTAACATGGATGAAAAATTTCCTGACTGATAGAAAAATGAGGGCCGTAATCAGAGGCAATGTATCGGACTGGAGGAATGTCACAAGTGGAGTACCACAGGGTTCAGTTCTTGCACCGGTCATGTTCAATGTCTACATAAACGATCTACCAGTTGGAATACAGAATTATATGAACATGTTTGCTGATGATGCTAAGATAATAGGGAAGATAAGAAACCTAGATGATTGTCATGCCCTTCAAGAAGACCTGGACAAAATAAGTATATGGAGCAACACTTGGCAAATGGAATTTAATGTGAATAAATACCATGTTATGGAATGTGGAACTGGAGAACATAGACCCAAGTTAGTAAATAAACTACTGTTAAGCTTTATGCAGTGTTTCCGTTGAACCACTTCTGAATACTGCCAATTATTTACTCAAGCCTTCAGCTCTAAGTGTCTTCAACACCAAGCTGCCTATATTCACTAAGCTATAAATGTGATGAGGACCCTAGGAGTCCCTTAAAGTGTTAAATCATTGAGGAGATTCCAACGATCAACGTGGAGCAGGACCAGGTGAGGCTAGTCTGAGAAGAGACCCTCAAGGACTAATTCGACCTTGCTCCCAGGCCCTGTACGGTTGTTCTCGTATTTTCTCTGCTAATTCCGACAGCTTCGTGAAGCGTCTGCCACATGTACATTGGCGACGTACGGATTGCAGTCGGGGAAGTAAAAAAGAAAACCCCCACACTCAGCCACCTGAATGCCATAAAAATGATGCTACAACCATATCAAAACTCCAGACACAAAGAGCAGAGGAGAAGTTCCAATTAACGAAGTACGTCACCAGACCAACCCTCAAGAAGAGGCTGAGCTACGTAAAAATCAGTGTTGAATGTAATTTAACACTAATTTCTGGGTGAGCCCCGAAGGCTCCTTGAAGTTATCATATATTGATCGGTGTCATATTATCATGTGTCATCAGTCATGGAGTTCTTATTGGCCTACTAGGGACCATAAGCCAGAACCTGGTCCCCTCACAGAGGTGCAGGAAGCAATGGCCTATGAAAACTTTACATTTCAAGTGTAATCATACTTACCACCACCAGGAAACCACCCAGAAAGGCATAAGCATAAGAACTGATGGTGGAGAAGCCAGCTGACCCAGGCTGCTTCCCACTTCCCACCAAACGAAGGGGGGTGAGGTGAGGTGACTAGTTTCACAAATTTTCTGTCCTTTCTTTACAGTGTTGGGAGAGTTCTTTTAGCAGTTTTGAGGCTGTAGGCTCATTTCTAATAAAGCATTAGTCTGTTTCGTTTCGAAGACTTTCTGGGTGCCTTTCCTTGGTGGTGGCAGACCTGAATAGACATATAAGGTTTTCAGTGCCACAGCTCCTGCGCCTCTCTGAGGGGCCAGGTTCTGGCTCATGGTCTCTGGTAGGCCAATAAGAACCCCATGACTGATGGCACCTAGTAGTATGGCACTGTATCAGTGTGGTAGCTTCAGGGAGCCAAAAAGGTCTCCCCCGAGAAAAATAAAATCTTTAATAAGCAAGAATTTTCCTATTAGCATTAATTTTGCACAAATGTAAAGAAATTGTAAATTTTCATAATATTGTATTATAAATACATTTGGACTCAACTGTATATGGTAAATAGTTTTTGCAGCAATAAAACCAAGACAATAGTACCAAGTACTGTACTATAAAATAGTGTATGATAATAATTTTTAAGCATAATTAATTAGGCAACATATGCTAAGCTTTAACATCCTTTAAATATAAATGAGTGCAACACAGCAACACGTGTCTATATTACCTGTTACATTATCTTCACGTAGAGACTCAATATTTCTGTAGTTCATCTGAAATTTGTAGAGGGCGGAATAATTGTAACGGGCATCGGTACCTATGGAAACATTTGTATGCTGTAAGGGATCTTCCAGAGAGAATGGAACTGTCCAAGAAACAAATGTTTTTAACTGACTAAATTCAGGAGCTTCAAATGCCACTTTGTCAATGTGAAACTCCAGCACATTGTCATGTTTGCCCAGACTGACCGTTCGTGTTAGGTTATGACCCAAACTATCTAACTTTTCCTTAAGGCCCTTGTCCGTAATCATCAGCATTTGATGCTCCAGCTTCTCACAACGTTCATCACGCCTCTTGATCGTCTCCTGTAAGTTCTTGATCGTAAAACGCAGATCATTTTCCATATCTTGAGATTCCTGAGTAACTCTTGTCACCTGAAGTGAAACATACATTAGTTCAAGCATCAGCCCATTCTCTTGATTTACCACAACATACAAAATGCAAAGTACTAACCTAACCAGAAATGTACGACCCAAGCAGCCCACCTAGCCTAACCTACTGAAACACTGAAAAATGAATACTGTAGTTGTGAGCACTATTTTTCTGGTCTACGGTATAGTATTTTGTAATTTGTATGCTGGGGACCATAACGTACAAAATTTGAAGTATGTACTAGTTAAGAGGATGAGTGGCAAGCAGGTATAGCATACATGATGGGGAAATGGTGCTGTCTACAGCACCATTGGCCCTTCAAAACCCTGGCCCTGCAAAACATGGCCCTGCAAAACATGGAACATGGCCCTGCAAAACATGGCCCTGCAAAACCCCCCTGTGGTTGGGGGTTTTCCTTATCTGCCATTGACCGGGGTTAGGCACCCAGAAAGGTAGGCATAACAAAATAAATCCCACATGGTAAGAAACGTACAATGAAAATCGAACAGAGGCAGAACTCCCGCAATCCCAAGTAAACAACCAAACGTCACACTCCGCCACAGTGCCGCTCGTCCATGCAGCCCTCCACCTCCCCGAGAGGGAGAGGGGGGAGCCTCAGACCCCCACGCTGGCTACTTAGACCTCCAGTTCGGAAGCTAAGCAACAAAACACAAAAAAACGCCAACTGGAGAGAGGGAGGGGTGCCAGGGAGTCTCCGGGGCTCACCCAGAAAATGGCGTTTCATTACATTCAATGCTGGTTATCTGTGGAAAGCCCCTACAGCTCCCTGGAGTTACATAACCAAAGATAAGGAAAAGAGGGACTTACCCGAGGGAGACAGGCTTAAGGGAGCCGGTCGGCCGAGCGGACAGCACGCTGGACTTGAGATCCTGTGGTCCTGGGTTCGATCCCAGGCGCCGGCGAGAAACAATGGGCAGAGTTTTTCACCCTATGCCCCTGTTACCTAGCAGTAAAATAGGTACCTGGGTGTTAGTCAGCTGTCACGGGCTGCTACCTGGGGGTGGAGGCCTGGTCGAGGACCGGGCCGCGGGGACACTAAAAAAGCCCCGAAATCATCTCAAGATAACCTCAAGATAACCCGGGAGGCAGCTGCTATAAACTCTTCAACGCAAAGTCAAGACAACTGGCTGCAACCCGCGACTCAAAGCTGCACAGGGATGCCCAGGAGCATGGACGTTAACCAATTAATGGGCACCCAGGACCCTATTTGACCTCCAAAATCCCCTCACCCCAATATCAGCCCAAGACATGTTGCCATACTCGGCAGCCTTTAAACTTCCTAATGTCATGGGCACAAGGATAGACCGCAGGCTGGCTAGACTTAATAACCCTGCAGATGACCTGGGAGACCCGAGCCCTAGAACAGGGAACGAGGGAAACCAGATCAACCCAAAGCACATCCCAGCCACCGAAGCTGAGAAAAGCCGTCTCTTTCTCTGCCAGGAAAGAAGGAGAAGGCTGCAAATAAACAAACCTACCACCAGGACCAAAAGAGCAGAACCCCCCCCTGCACCAGAGAAAAGCATGAAGCTCCCCAACCCGACCCCCCCTAGAGGCCAATGCCAACAAAAAACCAGCGTTGAATGTAATGAAACGCCATTTACTGGATGAGACTAGGGGGGCTTCCCGGAGCTATCCAGGCTGATATGTAATATACTGTATTAAACTTTGGCATCAGTCAGTGTGAATGGAGTTCATAGGCTTATCAGGGACCATGAGCCAGAACCTGCCCCCCCCCTCCTCACAGAGGCACGAGGAGCAGTGACCTATACAATAGCACATGTGATTTGGAGCATTTTATGTCTGCCATCGACCAGCTCAGGCACCCAGAAAGGTAAGCATCCCAAAACAAACCCCCTATTCTGGTTGAAACTACAGTACTACTGAAAGTCAAACAAGTTGGAATTCAAGGTCAGAGAACCTTCTGCCCTGGATAACGTTAGCTGACGAGCTGGAGGTCAGAGTAGCCAGCGCCGGGGGTCCGGGGCTCCCCCTTCCCCCTCTTGGGGAAGGGGGAGCTGCGCGGACGAGCGGTGCGGTAGTGGAGTGTGACGTTTACTTGTTTCCTTGGGATTGAAGAGAGTTCTGCCTCTCTGTTCAGAAAGGTTAGGCACCTTTCTGGGTGCCTAACCCCGGTTGATGGCAGATAAAGAAAACCCCCAACCACAGGGGGGGTTTTCCAGGGCTATTGCTCCCTGAAGCCTCTCTGAAGGGGCCAGGTTCTGGCTCATGGTCCCTGGTAGGTCGAACTCCATAGCTAATGCCCCAGTCTAATAACATCACACATTAGTCTGATAGCTCCAGGGAGCCGTTGGGGCTTCCCACAGAAAAAGTGCATACAGAGACAACATACAGTACTAGATACCACGCAGCTCAGGTGTTTGAAACATGTATTATGACAATGGTATTTGGAATATTTCCACATCCATTTTCGTCATTTTGTGTACAATATATGTATTTGATTGTTATTGTCTGATAACAATATTTGCTTAATAATATTTGTCATGTTTTAATTTTTTAAAGTTTAAAAGAATTTTTACCAATATTTAGACCTTGTACAATTATGTTTGAGCATGGAGGCGAAACATCGTACAATAATGATTCACTTTTCTCAGATTTGCGAAAATTTAAGAACATATTTGCAAATCATTTCATAATTGTAAAATAACATTGGAACTAAGTATGTTTAAAAGATTTTATGCACTGTACAATAGTTTACAAGTGAATTAAGTTGAAACAGCGAAGGTTTGTGTGGTAATAGAGCCTCGTGGACTGAAGGACTGTGTGGAGAGGAGGGAACATGGTAGTGAGGCTCTAGTACCATGGCCACCCCATTATAGAGAGACCCAGGGAGTGAGTATGGTGTCGGGGCCCCTGCTATTGTGGCCACCCTTTGTTGGGAAGCCTTGGAGAGGGAGTAACTTGTCAGGGCTCTAGTAATAACCTAAGTGTAGTTACAGGATGAGACCTGCAGTCGTGGTGTCCCATCTTCCCAGGACTCTTTGTCATATAATGCTTTGAAAGTACTAACAGTTTTGGCCTCCATCATCTTCTCACTTAGCTTGTTCCAACTATCTACCACTCTGTTGGCAAAAGTGAATTTTTTTTTAAATTTTGGCAGCTTTGTTTAGTTAGCTTAAATCAAGAAAAATAGGTCATAGAAATTCCAGGTCTTAAGAATTCTTCTTCATCAATTTTGTTGATTCCAGTTAATATTTTGTAAGTAATGAATATATTGCCTTTTTTCCTGTATCTTCTAGTTTTGTTATATTTAATGCCTGTAACCTCTCCTTGTAGCTCTTGACTTTCAGTTCCGGGAGCCATTTAGTTGCATGTCTGCACCTTTTCCAGTTTGTTGATGTGCTTCTTAAGATATGGGCAGCATATAACTGCTGCATATTTCCAACTTTGGTCTCACAAAGGTCAAAGGTCATTTTTAATATTTTGCCAGTCATGCATTTAAAAGTAATTTTGATATTGGAAAGTGTAGCATAGACTCCTCACACAGTGTTCTTTAAGTGGTCCTTAGGTGAGGATTTTCTATCTAGAACCACTCCTAGATCTCTTTATTTATCAGAATTCTTTAAAGCCTTTTCACATACTTTGTAGATTGTGTGTGTGTGGTCTATTTTTCTCCTATTCTAAATTCCATAACATGCCATTTATTCACATTAAATTCCCTTTGCTAAGTGGTGACCCATACACTTATTTCATCCAGGTTTTCTTGAAGGTAATGGCAATCATCTAAGTTTCTTATCTACCATAGTATCTTAGCAAACATGGACAAATAATTATGCAATCCTTTTGGTAGATCATTTATGTAAACAATGAACATTACTGGTATAAGAACTGAACCCTGTGGTACTCCACTCCTCACATTTCTCCAGTCCACACATTGCCTCTGATTACTGCCCTCATTTTTCTGTCAGAAAATTTTTGCATCTAAGTTAGAAGCCTTCCTGTCCCTCCTCCATTATGTTCCAGTTTCTATAACAACCTCTTATGTGGAGCTCTTATACATACATCTCATTTACTGCCTTCCGAATAGCATGTCGGTTTGAATCCAGTCAAATTCAATAAAAACTTTCTTAGCTTTTCGGTGCCTTTTCCTGAATTTTTTTTTTCCTGAAATCAAGCTTTTCAACTGCTTCATTTTCCTCAATCTCTTCCAGATTATAACACATTGTATACTTTATTTCCAAAAGGACATGGTCATTTTTACCCAAGAGAGGAAGGTACTGAATGTCAACTCTCTCTTTCCTGGTGAATATCAAATACAGCATTGAAGAACATTCCCTTTCCTCATCCTCGTAGCTTGTTTAACGTGTTGATACATGAATGTCCCCAGGATCTTGGTTATCTTGAGATGATTTTGGGGCTTAGCATCCCCGCGGCACAGTCCTCGACCTAGACCACCGGGGATCGAACCAGGAACTTCAGGACTACGAATCCAAAGCGCTGTCCACTCAGCTGTCAGGCGTCCTGATTGGCGCCCACGTGAGGATGAGGCTTACGAATCTACAGGTCCAAAAGTTTTCTGTTCTTGATTCATAGGCCTCCCAGTCTACGGATTTCAAGTTGAAGTCACCAAGTACCAACAGTCATGATCTATCTTTATCCACTCTTAATATAATCTCTCTCATAATCATTATGAGGCCCTCTTGTTTGTCGACCACTTTCTAATGGGGAGCCCTCAGTGAGGAAGGCATTTGGTGTTGGGACTCAAGAGTCCTGTACAAAGAATTATGTAAGGAATACCATGCTAACCTGGTCCTGTAAAGCTTTGTAAGTCTGAGAATGTGAGGTGAGAGTTGATGTTATCTTCTCCAGCTCCAGCATCTTCTCCCTGTACACCAATTGAAGCTCGCTGTGGGCTTCTCTCAGGGCTTCAGTATCCTGAATGAGAACAAATATATTTCAAACACAATGTCACATTCAGTTATTATGTCAAACTTGTTTGACTTTAGGCTGCTACTATATACTAATATCTTAAAATAACAATTGATGAATATTAACTCTTAGATAACAGTTTGTATACTTGCATGTTAATGTGGATTTCTGTGGGGAAATCGACCGGTGATTGTTTTGAGTATTAATTCAAGAGATTGTATTTATTACTTCTTAGCGGACTGCATTTTATAATTTACTGTCACCAATAAACTTCCCTTCACACATTTGGGGACATTTCATATTTTAATCTTACCGTAATTAAACGGTAGATGTAATTACTATTAAGTATTAGATCATACTATATAATAAATATTTAAATGGCCTCAGCTGCTTCAGTAGTAATGGCTGATCATCATACATCAGATACTCTTGGACACGTGCACTCCTGTGATTAATGGCATCTTGGTGTCCTGATGTGGCCAGCTCAAATTGTCTCATGCAATCACACTCACCTCGGGATACCATACACCGTAATATCTGATGACTACATACATGTACAGGTGTTACACATGAACTTAAATTGTTATATTAATGAGGCTTACCCTTGTGTTTAGTGTCTCCCTGCACCTTAACGATTAATCCTAGTCACAGAATAAATGGCCAAATAATCTTAACTAATAGACTAACCAAACTGGCACCTCCCTTTGATCTTAAGTTGTGTAATCTCGGCTGTAAATATTGAATAAGTGGAGTCACATTGCTTTCTAGGATACGCTGGGAGTAAATTTGTGTTGCTGTGGGAGGCCCTCTTGTGAGTACAAGTTCACTACAACCAATATGGCTGCCTCTGTTTACACTGTTGTTACGACCCTTGTTACAAACACTGCCAACTGACCTCGAGCGGTGCTCTCGGCCCTTGAACTCCGAGTATGGCCCGCCCTCCTTATCTGGAAGGGAGGCCTATCAGCAATATTGATTGATTACTTTTATTGTCTAGACAGATTATTGAGATAAAGTGTGATTAAAATATAAATAGATATAGGGTTTAAAGATTATAAGTAGTAATTACCTAAGTGTAGTTACAGGATGAGAGCTACGCTCGTGGTGTCCCGTCTTCCCAGCACTCTGTCATATAACGCTTTGAAACTACTGACGGTCTTGGCCTCCACCACCTTCTCACTTAACTTGTTCCAACCGTCTACCACTCTACTTGCGAAGGTGAATTTCCTTATATTTCTTCGGCATCTGTGTTCAGCTAGTTTAAATCTATGACCTCTTTTTCTTGAAGTGCCAGGTCTCAGGAAATCTTCCCTGTCGATTTTATCAATTCCTGTTACTATTTTGTATGTAGTGATCATATCACCTCTTTTTCTTCTGTCTTCTAGTTTTGGCATGTTTAATGCTTCTAACCTCTCCTCATAGCTCTTGCCCTTCAGTTCTGGGAGCCACTTAGTAGCATGTCTTTGCACCTTTTCCAGTTTGTTGATGTGCTTCTTAAGATATGGGCACCACACAACAGCTGCATATTCTAGCTTTGGCCTAACAAAAGTCATGAACAATTTCTTTAGTATATCGCCATCCATGTATTTAAATGCAATTCTGAAGTTAGAAACCATAGCATAGGCTCCTTGCACAATATTCTTTATGTGGTCCTCAGGTGATAGTTTTCTATCTAGAACCACCCCTAGATCTCTTTCTTTATCAGAATTCTTTAAAGATTTCTCACATAATATATAGGTTGTGTGGGGTCTATGTTCTCCTATTCCACATTCCATAACATGACATTTATTAACATTAAATTCCATTTGCCAAGTTGTGCTCCATATACTTATTTTGTCCAGGTCTTCTTGAAGGGCATGACAATCATCTAAATTTCTTATCCTTCCTATTATCTTAGCATCATCAGCAAACATGTTCATATAATTCTGTATACCAACTGGTAGATCATTTATGTACACAATAAACATCACTGGTGCAAGAACTGAACCCTGTGGTACTCCACTTGTGACATTTCTTCATTCCGATACATTGCCTCTGATTACTGCCCTCATTTTTCTATCAGTCAGAAAATTTTTCATCCATGATAGAAGCTCACCTGTCATCCCTCCAATATTTTCCAGTTTCCAGAACAACCTCTTATGTGGAACTCTGTCGAAAGCCTTTTTTAGGTCCAGATAGATGCAGTCAACCCAACCATCTCTTTCCTGTAATATCTCTGTGGCTCGATCATAGAAACTGAGTAAATTCGATACACAGGATCTTCCAGATCGAAAACCATACTGTCTGTCTGATATTATATCATTTCTCTCCAGGTGTTCTACCAGGTGTTCTACCCATTTAATTTTGATTAGTTTTTCCAATACTTTCACTATTACACTTGTCAATGATACAGGTCTATAATTGAGGGGATCTTCCCTGCTGCCACTTTTGTAGATTGGAACTATGTTAGCCTGTTTCCACACGTCTGCTACGATTCCTGTACACAGGGATGCCTGAAAGATCAAGTGAAGTGGAATGCTGAGCTCAGATGCACATTCTCTCAGAACCCATGGTGAAACGCCATCTGGGCCAGCTGCTTTGTTCTTACCGAGCTCCTTTAGCATATTTTCCACTTCATCTCTAGACACCTCTATCCGCTCTATGTTGTTCTCTGGAATTCTTATTGTGTCTGGTTCTCTGAAGATTTCATTTTGTACAAACACACTTTGGAACTTTTCATTTAATGTTTCACACATTTCCTTTTCATTTTCCGTGAATCTGTTTCCAATTTTCAACCTCTGGATATTATCCTTTACCTGCAATTTGTTGTTTATGAATTTGTAGAATAGGCCCGGTTCTGTTTTACATTTATCCGCTATCCCTTTTTCAAAATTTCTTTCTGCCTCTCTCCTTACTGCTGTATAGTTGTTTCTCGCATCTTTGTATCGCTGGTATGTTTGGGGGTTTGGCCTCTTCCTATACTGATTCCATTTTTGTGTCTTTTGGTCTCTTGCCCTCTCACAATATCTGTCGAACCAATCCTGTTTTCTGGCCCTGCATCTCTGTTTTGGTATGAATGTTTGTGTGCCTTCCTCGTATATTTTTAAAAATTTGGCATACATTTCATTTTCTTCCCTGCCTAGCAACAATTCTGTCCAATTACACTCATTAAAAAAATTTCGAAGTTCCCCATAGTTGCCTCTCCTTAAATCGAGTTTATCAACTGTTTCAATATCCCCATTTTCTTCTAGATGATATCTTAAAGCATAATCAATGTCTAACAGGACGTGATCACTCTTTCCCAAGGGAGGAAGGTACTGGATGTCAAATATCTCTTCTTCTTTCCTGGTGAATACTAGATCCAGTACTGACGGTACATCTCCTTCCCTCATTCTTGTAGCCTGCTTTATGTGTTGATACAAGAATGTCTCCAGAATGAGGTTCACAAATCTGCATGTCCAAAAGTCCTCCGTTCTTGCTTCATAGGCCTCCCAGTCTGTTGCTTTAAAGTTGAAGTCCCCCAGTATCAACAGTCGTGATTTATCTTTATCTGCTTGTACAATAATATCTCTCATGACCATTATGAGGCCCTCTCGTTTGTCATCCAGTTCTTCCTTTGTCCATGTGTTGCTTGCTGGTGGGCTGTAGGCATTTACAATTATCAGCTTATCATCCTGATTCCAGACCTGCAATGCCATTATGTCAATATCTCGAGGGTTTTCAAATATTAACTCTTTTACCCTCAGGTGTTTTTTCACCAGTACAGCCACTCCTCCTCCCTTCCTAGTTTTCCTGTCACGTCTCCAAACTGAATAGCCTCTTGGGAATATGACTTCATTTATTATATTTCCTTCAAGTTTCGTCTCTGATAATGCAACAATATCTGGGACCCTAAGCTGGATTATATCTTGCAACTCCAAAGTTTTTGACCTCACTCCATCTATGTTGGTATATACAATTATCAAGAACATGTTCCCTTTTCCTTTGCTCTTTACTCCCCCTTCCACTACTGATCTTGTTGCTTTGTTTTTATGTACCATTTCACAAGCTTTCCAGTCCCTGTCACTTTGTAAAAAAAAGAATTTCTGTCTTCATTTCTATCCCCATTTAGACGTTTTGCCTCAATTAGGTTCATTTTCAGCTTTTCTCTGTCTTCCTTGGAGAGGTCTTGTCTTATTGACCAAAGTTTGCCAACCTCATCACTCTGCAGTTTCCTGGCATTTCTTAGCACTTCCATCATGTTTTTCACTCCATTAAACGTCACCCTTAAGGGGCGGTTCTTTTCTTTCTCATATTTTCCTATTCTTCTAAAATCACTGACACTGACATTTTAAAATCACTAGTACTTGATAGTACGTGCACTATTGATTGTTATTAAGGATTTGATTTAATCCTCACCTGAAATCGATTGATGTTCCAACTATTTTTTAATTAAGTTCTTCCAGAACTTTCTAGATCCTTGAGAAATCATGCACATAGTCACGTAGACACACACGGGCCTTTATGGCATACATGACCAAATGATCATGTAGGACCTAGTTAACCCTTAAACTGCGCATGGCGTATATATACGCCCCGAGTAACATATCCCATGGTGCGCATGGTGTATATATACGCCATAGGGTGCCAGGCCTGATTCAAATGGCCCGCGGTTACACGGGGTTCACAGTAGCTTCCTCAGGGCTCTTGTAAACAGATGCCATTTTAAAAAAAAATCGTGGGCAATATTCTCAGGTGTGAGAGGCACAGTACTGTTGGAGCAACCAAGGCTGGCGCACGCAGCATGAGCGAACAGCATTGCTGTTCAGCTTGTGACCAAAGCATCGCCGAAAAATGTCAAAATAAATATATAATTGTTATTATTTAGCAATGACAATATTACAGATGACCCATGACTGATATAAATAACCAGGGTTGTGATAATAGCAGGATTGTTGTAATAATTAGCGCTGTGGGAGGAGTGATGGTGAGAGATGGAGGGAGACAGCATCGTTTACTGACTGTGTGGCTAGCTGTTATTGTTTGCATTCACCATACCAGGTCAGTGGTTCTCTATGGTGAACACAAATGTAGATACTTATATATAATGTGTGTATTAGTGTAATAACAGCAAAAGGATTATGCTGGGAGGAGCCATATGGGTGACGGAGGTGACGTCGTCTGCACGATTTGTCTAGCTGTTTAGAGGGTGGCCACTATGCTCTTTGGGCGCACTACAAGCTTAGGTGTACAGTTACGGTGCATAAAACATGTATATATTTATATATAATATGTGTATATAGGGTAATAACACTGCAAACAGTATTGTTGGGGGAGAAAGTTTAGTGCGTGTGACCTTGAAAGAGTGAGGGAGCCGCCAGCCGCCATCTGTGTATAGCGATGACTCTTGGTGCCTGAATTAACTATATCAGCTTAGCTGTACAGTTGTGGTGAACAAAATATATACATACTTATATATAACGTCTGTATATAGTGTAATAACACCACAAATGGTATTGTTGAGGAAGAAAGTTTAGTGCGTGTGTTGAGGGTGTGGCAGCGAGTGGCTGGCTGGTGTGTAGCGGTAACTCTTCGTTGCTTTTCGACTCTCAATACCAACTTCGTGGTTCGTTATGGTGACCAAAACATGCAGATACTAATATATAACCTGTGTATAGAGTGTAATAGCAGCAAAACTATTTGTTTATTGTTTTATAAACATAATAATTGAATCACTAATATGCACATCATACTTTTGAGTATAGCGATTATTCACCACTTTTATTATATAAATACATTACAATACACACTATTGAATAATATTACTGCAAAAAAACTAAGAAAAAATCAATCGGAGACATTGAAACAATTAGGTAATAATATCTTTGTGGCAACTCCCATCTGTCAGCGTGGGTGACGCTGACCGGGTCTGACGACCGCTCTGTCAACGCCCACTTTTTGCCAGACTTCCTCGGTCAATTGCGCCCAAAATATGTCACCTACGATTTTTTTTTTATTTTTTCCGTGCTCAGGGGACACAAATTAACACTTTCGCCCGGGCATGACGCAGCATTGCGTCATCCGTTTACTGGCGGTAATTCCGGGGATGACGCAGCATTGCGTCATCCACTTTAAATAATCGCCAAAAATCAGGTTTTCATCCGATTTTTTTGGGACTGGTTTTAAAATGCGCGCCGATGTCTTCCCATTTTCTTTGTTGAGCCTCGTGGCCCTCAGGTGGCTTGGCACATGCCGTGGGCCCATTGTTTTCGCTCCACTGTTGTAACCAATGTCGCCTCCCCTCGCATCTCAAACGTGTGAACATTTCGGCTATTTTCCGTTGCTATATTTCTTACTGCGGCTTTAGAATCTATCTACGCTTACTCCACGATGGATAGTGATCATGAACAAGGCCCTTCCAGGAAGAAAATTGCGAAAGAAAGGCTTGAAAAGGGCGGGAATTGGGAGTGTAGCTGGAAGGCGGCTGAGCACTCACTCGTGGCTAACTCGTGGCCCGTCTTCAACTCGTCGGCGGTTGGAGCGTGACCAGGTTTTTTATTTTATATGCTAATGTTCCTCTAGAGAATTCTATTGCGAACCCATTGAGACCAAAATGAAAGACCTAGGATAAAAATTGAGGTGACCAGAGTGAAAATAGTGAAAACATTTTATCCCGTTTGCGCGCTCCTGGGTAACTCGTTCGCACTTTCTCTGTTTGCTGCGGGTAATTAGCCGGGCTTTTGGAGTTTATATGCATTTAGTGCTGTAGAGAATTCTATTGCGAACACAATGATACCAAATTTAATCTCGTAGAACGAGAATTAAGGTGACAAAGTTGAAGAGCGTATACACTTTTCAGAATTTGCGCACACTCCTGTGACACCCTGGGTCCCATATCGCACAGTTGAGGGGTGGCGAGCGGGGTGCGCCAAAGTGCTAACATGTTTAGAAGACGAAAAAAAATTTTTGAATTTTTTTTTCTTGCGCACAGGGGTGTAAATGTCCCCAGAACCCCTGAGCAGTGTAAGGGTTAATGTATAATACAATATAATGAATCTGATGTGATTCTAATGTGAAATATAAATATGATATGGAAATAATAATTTCTTAGATGATAATGTTGATATAGTGGGTAAAATTTCCCACAATTTGCAATCCAATGGTGCCAAGTCTAACAGAATATTAGATGAAAAGGAAGAATTGTGATCCAATTGTGCTCAAAGAGGTGAAGGAGAGCTCACACCCCAGAGATCACCACAGAACCGAGCAAAAGACCGACCAGAAAGACGAAATGCTCCAAAACGGGCAAATGCTTGAAGAAATTTGTAACCCTGATGAAACAATGGAAACAATCGTTACAATGACAAAAATACTGCCAAAATACATTAACCCACCATTGAGTAGAAGCCCAAGCAATCCATTATTCTAGAAGCCAACCAGCTCATTCATAAGTGGGGAACAAGGAGCTACTGAGTGGCCAACCACAATGGGATGTCTCATTACATTCAGTGATGGATTTCTGGAGGGCTCATTCATTAGCTTAGCAGTGCTACAGCATCTCACAAAGGAGCCTCATCAGGGAGGCTGTCATATCTTGATTTGATGGCAAATACATAAAAAATATAACACAGAAAGATGAACAGGGATTATCCATGGAAAGAAGAAATCGAAGAGACAGGCCTAAACAAGATGCACTTGGCCAGACACCCAAGCACGACACAAGCAACGTATGGATGAGGGACATTCAACAAATAAATTCTTGCTTTATTTTCCACAGGGACACAAATTTTTAGGCACCTATCTCTCCAGGTGGATTTTTTCTCAGTTTTAGGTTGATCTCTGATCCCTAAGCTCCCCTTGACTCACAGACAGCCAGAGTCTAGTCCTGGCTCCCAGTAAGCTTGGGAGGGTGTGGTAAGCCTGCACAAAGCCTGGCAGCAGTGTTGCAGCTATGAGGAGCTACTACATAACCAACTAGAAAATGGCATTTCATTGCATTCAACTCTTGATTTGTTATATATTTCCCCAGTTTTATTATGAGAATCCATAGAATAGAAAATGTCTTACTCACCTTGGTAGACATACCCTTTGCATTATCTTCCTCTTGTTTTGTTAATGAACTAACAAAATCTTTCTTTGTTAAATCCAGCAAGCCAGCCTGAAAATGTATATGAACAAATCATTTACATTATGTGATGCAAACTTCTTTTATCCATCAAATAGTATTGCTAAATTATATGTCAGACTGCATTCCTTTGAAAATTAAATTGTTTAGAAAATTTAATTAATTTTCTAAACAATTTTCTTTTCTAATTGTTTAGAAAGTTTTAGATTGGTAACTTAACAAGGCATAACTACACAGTATATTGTAACATGTATTTAACACTTTCGCGCTCTCCGCAAAGGTCACTCAGCCAACCGAATGTGCGCGCTGCGTTTTTATCGCTTAAGCGTAAAAACAAAAATGTGTATACTCTTTTTACTCTTCTGACCTTAGTTCTCATGCTACGTATTTCATTTTGGTACCAACGTGTTCGCAATAAAATTCTCTAGAAGAACATCAGTAAAAAAAGTCACGAAACGTATAGGGATACCAGCACCAAATAAATAACTACGAAGATGACTCGCCGTGAGCGCCCATCAGCAACAAAATGTTTTTACTCTTGGGATTGTAATCACCTCCACACTTATTCTACAGCGTTAATTTTGGTATCAATGGACTCGCAATGAAATTCCCAACACGGTGATATGAATATAAGCGTAGAATAATGATGCGGCCCGCCCGCAAGAGTGTGGGAAGTGGTGAAATTGTTACCCGGTATCGGTGACGGGACGACGCACGGCGCTTTGAAAGTTTATACTTATTTCACTCTCATGACATTAATTTTCTATGTACGTCATTCATTTTTGTGTCAATGTGTTCGCAATAGAATGTTCTATGTGCCCATAGGTAAAAAATATCAACAAAGCGTAAGTTAGAATAGCGCCAAATATAAAACAACGCTGGAACATATCAGTGAGCGTCAAACACACACGAAATGTTTTTACTTTTGTTATGTTTGTCAAGTTTATACTTGTTGCACACAGTTATTTTTGGTTGTATATTGATCGGAATAAAATTCCCTAAACAGACATATGCATATAATACATGATATGGGGGAAGCATTACCAGTATAAACGGCTAAAGTCACCCACCTGCAACCCGTTTGGGACAAAATACCATTTGATCGAAGTTATCCACACCTTTCATGAACTTATTGTACCATGCAGCCTAGTGGTGAGAAAGAGAGCCTCATAGCGCGCAGTTTGAAACAAACCCAAAGTAAATCGGATAAAAATTGAATTTTATACAAATATTTTAAAAGAGGACTCAACTTTATGTCCACTATGCGTTAGCGTTAGACGAAACGGGACGCGCCGGCGCGTCCAGATAGCGCGAAAGTGTTAAAAACAGATTCAGAACTTTTCTGTAACTTCATTAAAAGCAAGCTGCAGGTAAAGGATAAAATTCAGAGATTGAGAATGGGGAACAGGTCTACTGAGAATGAAAAAAAAATGTGTGAAATGCTATATGAACCGGTCCAAAGTGTGTTTGTACAAAATGAGTTTTTCAGAGAGCCGGATCAAATGCCAATTCCAGAGCACACCATAAAACCAGCGTTGAATGTAATGAAATGCCATTTTCTGGGTGAGACTCGGAGGCTCCTCGGAGCTGTCTAGGCTGATATGGATTTATTTATTAGACTTTAGCATCAGTTAATGTAAATGGAGTTCTAGGCCTACCAGGAACCACAAGCCAGAACCTGGACCCCCCTCGGAAAGGCACGAAGAGCAATGGCCTATAGAAATGCACATGTGGTTTAGGAGCATTCAATGTCTACCATCGACTGGATCAGGCACCCAGAAAGGTAAGCGCCCCAAAACAAACCCCCTATTCTGGTTGAAACTACTACTGAAAGTCAAACGAGTGGACAGAACTCCATAAATGAAAACGAGCATGACATCACTACGTGCCGTGTCGCTATCTGCACAGCTTCCCCCTCCCAGGGAGGGGGAAGGGGGAGCCCCAGACCCCTCTCGCCAGCTACCCACATCCCAGTTCTGAGGCAGGATGTCAAAACATGCGAAAAACCGCCGACCGGAGGAAGGGATACCGGGAGCCTCTGGGTCTCACCCAGAAAATGGCGTTTCATTACATTCAACACTGGTTTTCTGGGGAAAGCCCCTTCAGCTCCCGGAGCTACTTACCCAAAGATAAAAAACAAAAGGGATGTACCCGGGCGGCAGTCGGCACTCGCTCCTCAACTCAAAGTAGAGACAACTGGCTGCAACCGTCGACCCAAAGCGACACAGGCCTGATGAGGCACAGGAACACTGACCAGGTAATGCACAGCCAGGATCCTGTTCGACCACCAAAAAACCCCGTGCCCGAATGTCAGCTCAAAACATGTTACCTTAGATGGCAGCAAGTACAGCAAACTTACGAACATCGTGGGCAAAGGGGGATAGACCTCAGGCTGGCTGGCCCAAATAACCCTGCGGACGATCTGAGAGACCCGAACCCTGGAACAGGGAAGAAGGGAAACTGGGTCAACCCAAAGTGCGTCCCTGGTCACGGAGGCCGTGACACACAAAAAATGGCAGAAAGCCGCAACCGGACACAATACATGATGCACCCATGGTCTAACCAACTAAGCATCAATAACCCAAGGACCCCCTCTGGAAAGCAGCCATCTCATTCTTCGCCAGAAAAGAATGAGACGGATGCAAACGAACAAATCTATCATCAGAAAGGGGAAAAGAGCCTTGGAGAAACAATCCTGAACTGAAGGGACCCACTACAAACCGAGGGAAAAGAGAGATAAGAGAGCACCCTGTCCAAAGACCAGGACAGCTCAGGCGGCACATGAGCAGGCCGGAGGTGAAACAATGCCCGAGACAGCTTGCGAAACATCACAGAAGTAACATCAATACCAAAGCAAGCTGCAGCGACTCCGCCAGCACCGCACGACACGAGGCGACAGTATTTGGCCTAAGATGGCAGTCCTGAAACGACCACGAGAGAAAGGACAAGACTACCTTAACAAAAAGCAAAGTACACGTACAAAGAGACAAAAAGAAACGGAAGGACCACCAGGAAACTTCATACAGTACTGCCGCCGAGACGAAGCACACAAATGGGACACCATTAACGAAGCTACCTGAATACCATAAAAATGGTGATAGACTCAAGTCAAAAAGACCAGACGCAAAGACTCAAAGAAAAGATCAAACCAGCCACATAACGGACCGGACCGATCTGCTGAAAGAGGTGGAGCCATGGGAAGACCCCTGGGTTCGGACAGTGAGCAAGCAGCGCCTGAAACCAAGGCTGGGCCGGCCACCAAGGGGCCAAGAGGACTACTCCCCCGTGGTAAGTCTCCAAGAGAGCCAAGACCTGAAGCAACAGCCGAACCGGGGAGAAGAGGTACAGGTAACCTCACCTCGACCAGCCAAGGACCGCATCGAACCCCCACGGTTCAGGCAATGAACCACCAGGGAGCAGTCCGAATGGAGCCTAATCGTCGATCTGCAAGTGACCTGAACCCTCTGAAGTGACATCCATACCGCCGCCAACTCCTGCACCGTGCTGTGGGCCCAACGGAAGAACAGATCCCCCACTGCCCCTGGCCGGCCTGGTGAGCACTGGGCACAAAGCCCCAGCCAAGAGACAACTTTTAGGAACAAAGTTTTGTACATATAGATAGCACATGAGAATGTGTGGAGTGAGTGTATGTTTAGCATGTTAAGGGACTTAAACAGAGGAGCTGTTTGTTGTCGGAATACATAGTTTGTTATTGTTCTGATTGCAGATTTTTGCCAAGTGATGATAGGTTTGAGGTAATTTGCAGTGGTTGAACCCTATGCACAGATACCATATGTAAGATAGGGATAGATTAGTGAATAGTATAACGAGAGGAGAGCAGAGTGGGGGAACATAGTATCCGATTTTAAAAAGTTTACCAACCATTTTTTATACTCTTTTTGGCTATGTGTTGTATATGGGTGCTGAAGTTCAGTCTCTTGTCTATATATAGGCCAAGGAACTTTCCCTCATTTGTACTGGTAATGTTAACATTGTCTATCTGAAGTTGAATATGATTTGCTACCAAATAGAATGTAGTAGGTCTTTTCTATGTTTAGTGTAAGTTTGTTGGTTGACATCCATGAGTGGATCTTTTATTAATTCATTGTTGACAATATTATTTAGTGTGGGGGGGTTGGGGGTTAAAATAGGTTTTTTGATAGAGCTACAGATTCTATAGGAAAGAGGGGGTTGTGTTGACTTGTGTCTATCTGGACCTAAAAATGGCTTTTGACAGTCATGCACAAGAGGCTGTTCTGGAAACTGGAACATGCTGGAGGGGTGACAAGGAGACTTCTGACACAGATGAAAAATTTTCTAATTGACAGACAGATCAGGGCGGTAATCAGTGACAATGTATCTGACTGGAGGAGTGTTACTAGCAGTGTACCACAGAGTTCAGTTCTTGCACCAGTAATGTTCATCGTCTACATAAACGATCTACCAGAAGGAATACAGAATTATATGAACATGTTTGCGGATGATGTTAAGATACTGGGGAAGATAGTAGAAGCAAACAATTGTAATGCCCTTCAAATCAATCTAGATAAAATAAGTGCTTGGAGTGGCAAATGGAATTCAATGTGGATAAATGCCATGGTATGGAATGTGGAATCAAAGAAAATAGACCACACACAACTTACAAATTATGTAGAAAGGAATTACAGAACACTAATAAAGAATGAGACTTAGGGGTGATTTTGGATAGGAGGCTGTCGCCAGAAGAACACAAAGAACATTGTGAGAGGAGCGTATGTGTCACTTTCCAATTTCAGACTTGCTTTTAATTACAGTATATGGATGGTGAAATACTAAAGAAACTGTTCATGATTTTTTGAGACCAAAATTGGAATATGCAGCAGTTGTATGGTGCCCTTTCATACTCTTATCTCTCACATATCTTTCATCCTGTAACTAGACATTGGTAATTACCTTGGAATAAATATTTAGTTTGTGATTGGTTTTCTCCAAGTGTTGTTGTAGTGAGAGGTTGCTTTCCCTCAGGTGCTTCACTTCAATCTCAAGTGTGGCAAGGGCCTCCTTATCACTGGTCATGTGCTCCAACAAACTTCCTCTTTCAATAAGATCACTCTGGAAGAAATATTTTGATATTACACAAACACAGTATTGACATGTGTGGAAACTACTATTTTTTTACAGAAAATATTAACTGATACAGCAATATCAAGTGGTTTATGTCTGTAGAGAAAACCACGAGAATAGACTATTTCCTGATATTAATGAAATCACTTCATTCACGCCTACCTCTCTGGGTGCTTTACCTGGTTGATAAGTATGACATACTTTAAATGTAAAGTGCTCATAGGCCAATGCTCCCTGTACCTCTCTGAGGGGTCCCAGGTTCTGGCTCTGGTCTCCATTAGGCATCAAGAACTCTGTGTTTGATGACCCCAAATAGGATAGCACTATATCAGTGGGATAGCTTCAGGGAGCCTCCAGGGCTCACACAGAACTGGTGTTTCCTTACATTCAACACTGGTTTTTTGCAGCAATATAGCAATAGTGTGTAATTTGTGGAATTTATATAGTTAAATGTGTGGAACATCGCTATGCTAAAAAATATGGGGCTCATATATAGTGACATGTTTATTATATTCTTAGATCAAGCAAACAGCATTCTTGCTGTTATTACACCATATACACAGGCTATATACAGTGGCACCTCAACTTATGATAGCCCCGACTTACGATAATTTCGAGTTACGATATAAATTTGATCGGAAAATGCGACTCGACTTTTGATAGTGTCATCGACTAATGATATTTATTGATACACGTTCAGGTCGACCAAGCGCATGGTTCCTGGTCATGCGGGCCGACCTGCCTCAGTTTACTACAGCTGCCCACTTAGTGATGATCACGCTTATAAGAAATTCTAATTTTTTTGGTGATTTTTTGCTTTTTGAATATAAAACTGATTATTATATATCACACCATAGGTCTCAAGTAAGTCAGTGGTAAGATTCAACAAATGAAAACACATGTGAAGATGACCATAGAGGCAGTACAGAATATCCCTTCCTCAAAAATTAAGAAAATGTGTACATCATGGAAAGAACTGTAAACTTTTGCTGAAACCACTCACCCAAATCAAGCTGCAACCCCTGCTACCCGTTGGTTTCGGGTGGCAGGGGTTGCCTGTTCCATTCAGGGGTTAACAATGTAGTATGTTTTTTGACACTTTAGTAGTAATAATGTAGGGTTTTTGACACTTTAAAAAACAAAAGAATTTTTTAAAGATAATTTATTTCCTGTGCACTGGGGGTGTCATATTTGGAGACGGCGCAGTTAAAGGGTTAAATAAAAAAATTTAAACACTTACTTGTAAAGCAGATTCCAGATGAGCAATTTGAGTCTTCAGTGTTTCATTTTCTGCTGCAAGTTGTTGATGCTCAAAATTTCTATTAATAGTTGCTAATTGTTCATTTTCCTTTTGAAGTTGACCATTTTCCTTCTGAAAATAAGCACAATATAAATAAATAAATAAATAAATAAATAAATAAATAAATAAATTCCTTATTTTCTTCTCTGAGGCTATGGGTCCCCATATTTGCACCAGAGGTGGTACCCCTCACAACTTTAAAATATATATATACAGTGTATATACAACCCGTTCTCGCAAATTCGTAAAGTCAATATTGACTTATTAACCACGTGCATAGGTGATATACTAAACATAATAGATACCCTTAAAAAGATTCATAGAAAACACCGACCTTACATAACCTTGTTAGTATCTTAAGATAAGCATCTTATTGCTTCGTAATTACAATTATTACTTAACCTATACCTATTATAGGTTAGGTAATAATTGTAATTACGAAGCAATAAGATGCTTATCTTAAGATACTAACAAGGTTAGGTAAGGTCGGTGTTTTCTATGAATCTTTTTAAGGGTATCTATTATGTTAAGTATGTCACCTATGCACATATTTAATAAGTCAATATTGACTTATTAAATTTGCGAGAACGGGTTGGTATATATGTACAGAGTACCAGGATGGGTAGTAAAAGTGGGTGGGAGTTGGCGGTGGCGTGAACTAGCTAAGACTAACACAGGCGCTGGTCACCCCCGGTCCCTCCCCGTTACCTCCATTCCCCCCATCCCGCACCCTCCCCACTACCTCCAGCCCCCCATCCCGCACCCTCCCCACTACCTCCATTCTCCCATCCCACAACCTCCCCGCTACCTCCATCTCCTCATTCTCCAGACTGCCCCCCCCCCCCCCCCAGCTGTATCCCTCTCAGCCCTATGGACAGTACAGTATTAATACGGTGGGCTTCCTTGTGACAGATAGGGAGGCAGACTCCCTAAGCACCTGAAATTGAACTTATTGTTTGCTAACTGACTGGTTGTGACTGTGAAAGCATGATTGACTGTGAAAGCCTGATTGACTGTGTATGCATAAGTGGCTGTAAATGTTTGACTGATCGTAAATGCCAAACTGGTTGCTACCACAACAGTGAATGCTTGACTGCCTTTGGTTATGACTGCCTGTGACTGATATTGACTGTGAATGCTTGACTGACTTCTGACTAAATGACTGGTTCTGACTGGCTGCTACATAACAGGCAGTGAAATGTGTGAAAAGAAAAGCTGGAACCAGTAAGGCAAGCAAGGAACGGTCTCACCCCCCCCCCCCTATCCTCCTCACCCTCCTCATACACCAACACTGCCCCTTCCTCCCTCCCTCCTCACCGTCTCCCATGCACCACCAAGAGACCTCAGTAGAAGTAAAGTGCAGTTAAATGTTCACTTATTTTATTTATGGTTTATATTTATACCTGATTGTGTTGTGTATGAAAAATATGAGTAGTATTCCTTATAAAATGTATTTTTAAGTTAATATTTTTGGGTGTGTGGAACGGATTAATTCAATTTACATTATTTCTTATGGGAAAATTCGTTTTGACTTACGAATTTTCGACTTACGACCCGTCTCTGAGAACGGATTAAATTCGTAAATCGAGGCCACACTGTATATGCAATTAAGAGCTGTTCAAGGGTTAATGGTGTTTTTTAATACTTAGCATTCTAATAAAACTAGTATCTAAGGTTGAAATACACAATACATACCAGCTTCATAAAATATGGTTTTTAACTACTGTATTTTCATACTAACCTCTAATACAATTTTTTTCTCAGTAACCTGTTGGAACTGTCCCAGTGCTTTTTGATGTTCTTGTTGCAGCTCTCTTAACTGATTCTCAGCCTCCAGAAGTTTCCCAGTCACCATCTCTTTGATAAAAATATGAAAAATCTGCTTTAATATTATGGTCAGATTTGCAAATTTGCATAAAACATTATAGAAGACATAAAGCACTGAATGAAATGAAATGCCTTTTTCTGGGAGGCATATAACAGGTCTCTAGTACATTTGGCTCTTGTATTGTATCAAAAACACACACACATGAAAACAGAGGGCAGACAACAAATTTCAAGATGGCCGTTGGCAAGAAGAAAACCCCAGCATTGAATTTAATGAGATGCCAGTTTTTGGGCAAGCCCCAGAGGTTCCCTGAAGCTATCCATACTGATATAGTGCTATATTAGTTGGGGGCCATCATTAGCAGAGTTCTTGTTGCCTACTGGAGACCATGAGCCAGAACCTGGCCCCCTCAGAGGCGCACAGGGAGCAATGGCCTATGAACGCTTTACATTTAAAGTACTGTACATTTATCATAATTGCCATCAAACAAGGAAGGCACCTAGAGAGGTAGGCGGAACAAAACAGACCATTGACTGGTTGAAAAGTGAGACCTACATCCTTCAAATTATAAAAGAACTCATGCAGAGAGAAAAATAATTCATCCAACTAACTCCCAATCCTCCCTGTGGAGGGAGGAGGAGCCGGGCCGCCCACCATTCAGTTCTTGAATGATGAAAAAAAAAATCGGAGGGAGGGAGGGTGTCAGGCAGCCTCCGGGGTTCACCCAGAAACTAGCATTTCATTACATTCAACACTGGTTTTCTGTGGGGAGCTCTATCGGCTCCCTGAAGTTAACTACTCACAGAGAAGGAAAAAAAGGGACCAACCAGGAAGGTGGCAGCACCACAGGTCTCAATTTGAGGAAGAGATAGTCGGCTATAACAGGCACCCCAAAGCAGCACAAGGCCGCAGTGGGCCCGGAACATTCCCAAGATACCTAGAGGCCAGGACTCTGTTCATCTAAGCCTGACATCCGGATAAGCCGACTTTTTACCAGGAAAGTCCAAAAGTGAACATATTCCTAATTTTTTGTACCACAACCAACATAATTTGAATTGCCACACACAGACTATAATTATAAAATATTCAAGTACAGTACTGTAATTAATTTAAAACAGAAACTTCAACTTACCTTGTTGTAGTTCGTCTTGTTGATTGATGCTACACATCTTGAAGTTAAGAATTGTTGAAAATTTAACCTAACCTAACACAACGCAAAAATTTACACTTGAAATTACTGTGCAGTATATGAGCTTGGCAAAATTACTTTTGACTGCCAGCTGCTGAAGCCTCGCTGGTTGAAGGTTCTTGGCTTGCTTGTGAGGCCTCATTGGTTGAAGGTCATTTGCTTGCTTGTGAGGCCTCACTGGCTGAAGGTAATTTGCTTGCTTGTGAGGCCTCACTGGCTGAAGGTCATTTGCTTGCTTGTGAGGCCTCATTGGTTGAAGGTCATTTGCTTGCTTGTGAGGCCTCACTGGCTGAAGGTCATTTGCTTGCTTGTGAGGCCTCACTGGCTGAAGGTCATTTGCTTGCTTGTGAGGCCTCACTGTTTGAAGGTCCTTGACTTGCTGTTCTTACCAAATGAAAATCAAGTTTGGCTTGCCTCCTGTGTTCACTGGCCTTTCTTATGATCAGCTCTTTGGTTTGCCTCAGGTCCTAAAACCACCCACCCCAAAACCACTTATACCACGCTCCTCGAGCCACAGCCGTACAGGATTAATACAATACGGCCCAATGCCTGACTTCTGTATCCGTAGAAATCTCAGTTTGTCCGGATTTCAGTCCAGATATGGACAAGTTGGTAGAAAGTTATCCAGATCTGATTTAAACTCTCTGCCTGCATACACTTATCCGGACAAACCTTTGGTCACCCGGATTCTATGGACATTTATCCGGATATGAACTTAAAACTATCAGGATGCAATTTTGTCCGGATGACCCCATTATTCGGTTTAGCAGACCCATTAGGCAACAGGAAATCTGCGACTGATGACCCCCAATTATTATAGCATTATATCAGTATGGATAGCTTCAGGGAGCCGACAGGGATCCCAACAGAAACACACACAGCTGGATTTTGGTGAATTTAATGAGGAAAGTATTAATATGAGAAGACTACATAACAAGTTGGTAAAATTATACATTGTGAACTAACATGTGGAAACAATCAGGAATTTGAGAGAAAGTAATGACCACTTGAGTAGTTAAGTATCAGATCTTAAAGGGAGTTTGAAAGAATTATGCAAAGACAAGAATTACTGGGACACTAAGAGCAAAGCCAAGGAGGAGGAAAATATAGTCTTGAAAATAGCTTTTGAAGAAGTTACAGCAAATCTAAACATGAGTGACTACAATATGTTAGGTGAGGAAATCCAACAGGAAAAACAGCTCTTGTCATTACAGATGGAGGAAATTACACAAGAAGGATATGCAACTTACCTATGCACAGGTGGCCTGGGAGAAGGAAAAATAGCAGCAGCAGTAAAGGAAGCCAAAAACTGCAGCAATCAGAAAAAAACAAACACTAGACTGGAAGTCAGACAGGAACTGACATCAATCCTGAAATTGGTGCAAAACACAATCGATCAAAGTCCCTATTAATTTTTGGTTGCAGAGAAAGAGATAACATCTAGGTCAGAAAGAACCACAGAAGCGAAAGTAGTAGATAAAACTATTGGGCTAGTGGAAGGTCTTACAACCAAAGAGAATGTCTGCAACTTCAGAAATGGCAGGTATGAAAAAGGGAAAGATCAACCCTTGAGGATCACCCTAAACGGTGTTAAACAAATAAAAAAAGTACTAAGGTATGTTAGGAAATTACAAAGTGATGAGGAAGGGAAATTATGGTCATTAAGACAAGATCTTTCAAAGACAGAGAGAAGCTGAAACTGAACCCAAGAGAGGCAAAAATGTCTAAATGAGAGTAGGATCGAAGAAGAAATCAATTTTTTTTCTACAAGGTGATAGTGGGGTAGACAAGTCAGTGAAATGGTACAAAAAGGCAAATCATCAAAATCACTAGAGAAAGGGGAGTGAAGAACAAGGGGGACGGGAGAGGAAACATGTTCCTGAAAATTGAATACATCAACATAGATGGAGTAAGATAAAAAAATACTGTACTGTGATGTAATACAGCTGCAGACACCAGACATTGTTGCACTCACAGAAATGAAACTCGAAGATGATATTTTAAATGAGGTCGTATTCCCAAGGGGTTACTCAGTATGGAGACGGGATAGAAAAATTAGGAAAGGTGGAGGTGTTGCTGTGCTGGTGAAAGAACACCTAAGGTATGCAGGCGATGAGTCACAATAACGTGGCTGAAGTAGTTTGACCAGACCACACACTAGAAGGTGAAGGGACGATAACGTTTCGGTCCGTCCTGGACCATTCTCAAGTCCAAGCCATTCTCAAGTCGATGACTTGAGAATGGCTTGGACTTGAGAATGGTCCAGGACGGACCGAAACGTCATCGTCCCTTCACCTTCTAGTATGTGGTCTGGTCAAACACCTAAGGTAAATAAAATAATGATTGCCAATTCACGAGAAGTTGGCCTGCATGATGATATCACAATTACGTTATACATCTGAGAAAATGCTGAAGTCGTACAATGGGTTTGAACCCAGATCAATAAACTTCTCAGGCACACACACACACACACACACACACTAATGACTGGACAATGATAGGCTTAAAAGTATCTCGGGCAGATGTGCCACTTGACGTGCATGGAACATGAAATGCATTGTCCGGTACCACATTCCAAGTTTTACCAAATACCATTTAAGCCTATTATGGTTCAGTCGGTTATGAGTGTGTGCTTGAAAGTTTAGGAATGTGGGTTTGAGCTTATCTTATAGCTTCATCATTTTCTAACCGATATATCTATGTCCCTTTCCCTTTATTTGGGAAAGATGTCAACTTTTCAGTAAACAAGGTTCTCTTCAATAATCACCAAGTTCATTTTGTAGAGCATCTTTCCTTGACTTCTCTACTGTAACTTTCTCCTCAGTCATAGCCAACTGCTCCTGAAGTGCAGTGATGCGGGCAGTAAGAGTGCGTGTTTCCCGTTCTGCCCGCACAACTGCTACAGTTTCTCTCTCTTCACGTACTCCGTGATCCTGCAAATCCTCCCGAAGACTTAAAACTTCCTCCTCCAGCATTGCTATTTTCTGCTGTAGTTCATATTCTGTATCTTCAGCACACTGCAAAAAATAAGCTTAGAAAATACAGTAAATACAAGCACCTTTTAGAGCAGAATCAATTGATTGTTCATTAACCCTTGAAGTGTGCATATCATCCTAAGATGCTCGACCCAGTATGTGCATACCATCCTTAAGATGCTTGACCCATGGTGTGCATACCATCCTAAGATGCTCGAGCCATGGAGTGCAATCCTAAGATACTCAAACCCATGGTGTGCATAGCATCCTAAGATACTCGACCCATGGTGTACATACCATCCCAAGATGCTCGACCCAGTGTGTGCATACCTTCTTATGATGCTTGACCCAGTGTGTGCATACCTTCCTAAGATGCTCAACCAAGTGTGTGCATACCATCCTAAGCTGCTTGACCCCAGTATGTGCATACCATCCTAAGATGTTCGACCCAGTGTGTGCATGCCATCCTAAGATGTTAGACCCATGGTGTGCTTACTATCCTAAGGTGCTCAACCCTTGGTATGCATACCATCCTAAGACGTTGAAGCCATGGTTTGCATACCATCCTTAAATGCTCAACCCCATGGTGTGCAAAATATCCTAAGATGTTCGACCCATGGAATACATAACATCCTAAGACACTCGACCCATGGTGTATATAACATCCTATGATATTTTCTGTATTTCGAAACTCCCTCTGGTACACAATACAGTATTCCCAATCACTGCTTGAGGTCTCCAGCAAACATCGGCATCTTGAAAAATGACATGATTTATGACAATTCTATTAAGCCTGTAAGGCACAATGCTAGTGAAACAGGTAGGAGTAAAAAGTAAGGTGCTCCAGTGGACAAGGGAGTATCTAAGCAGCACTTATGTGTTGCTTAGATACCCTGCCCAAAGGATAAACCAGAAGGACAAAGTTCAGACTCCCCCACAGCTGCTCGAGTATCAGCCGAATCACCCGGGTCCCCCTCAACATCAATAGATGGCAGGAACGCAGCTGGAACAAGGAGGTAGGAAAAGCAGCACCAACTAAGAATCCCAAATGAGGTCCAACCACGTGCAAACCTGGGAAGGATCCAACTGGGACTTCTGTCAGTTCACCAGGAACCCGAACCCAGTGAGCTGGGACAGAACCAGATCCCTGACTAGCAGACAAACGAACCAGTTGAGAGCCCAAACCAGCCAGTCGTCGAGGCAGGCCAACACCCCAAACACCCGAAGACCTAACAAACTAAGACGGGCCACTACGACCAGTCAAATGCATAAAAGTGCAAGGTGTCAGATTCAGCCCGAACGAGAGAGCCAAAAGTGGTAAGCCTGTGGCCCACTATAGAACTTAATGAATCTCTGAACCCCAGATGTATAAGGATTTGCCAATAAGTATCCTTGAGGTCAGGGTAAATCATCCAAGTGCCCGGCTTGGTTGGGGAGCAACCAAGGGAGGGACACATGCACAAAGAGGCACCTGGACACACTCAACAAAATGTTTGCTTTATGGTCATCATTTTTAACCTTTTTATTCCAATCTATTTATTGTCTTCCTGAACAAGAAAAGTATTATATAACCTTACCTGTTGTTTCTCAAGAAGATGTTCCTGAAGATCATCTCTCTCAGCCTCAAGGTCAAGAATTTTCTTTCTCGCTTCTTCCAAAATTTCACGAACTATTTCTGGCAATGCCTGAATAAGTAAAATTTAAGTAAATATTTGAGATTGTTGACAAGTTTAGGTTGCATATACAATGATGTTCAATTCTTCTCTCCATGCATTCCATTAGTATATTTACTGCTCCATATGTTTTATTTTGACCAACCTGTTTTATTTAAATTGCTTGGGTTGTGGTGGTGTCACACCCAGCATGGTGCCCCTTGGGTTGTGGTGTCATACCCAGCATGGTGCCCCTTGGGTTGTGGTGGTGTCACATCTAGCATGGTGCCCCTTGGGTTGTAGTGTCATACCCAGCATGGTGTCCCTTGGGATGTGGTGTCATACCCAGCATGGTGTCTCTTGGATTGTGGTGTCATACCCAGCATGGTGCCCCTTAAGTTGTGGTGTCACACCTAGCATGGTATCCCTTGAGTTGTGATGTCACACCCAACATGGTGCCCCTTGGGGTGTGGTGGTGTCACACCCAGCATGGTACCACTTGGGCTATGGTGGTGTCACCTGAACCTGGTCCCATCTTGAGGGTGAACAGGCAAAGTGGACAAACGAAGCTTACTTGAATTAAAAAGAGGTAGGACAAGGGACATCAATAGAAGCAAGACATGTAATTGAAAAAAAAGAGAGGCAAGGAAGTTCTCATTCCCTGTACAGGTGGTCGGCAAGTGGAATCCAATTCTATCCATAACTAAGAAAAAATATAATGAAAACATCTATGTTGAGAGAATTAATTAGCACATCAGGTAAGCCTAGGAGGCGGAGCATAAAGAGCTACATCTCGCTCTTCTGTAGTTACTGATAAGCACCAACTTCAGACAACATAGCCCTTGTAGCAAACAGTATTAGTTAACAACAGACCAGAAAAAATTACCTTGAATTCACAGCTAAAGCCACAAGTCACACACAGTGACTTAGGTAATAACAAGGTTACTGGCAATACTGATCACTAGGAGAATAAGCATGAAATCAAACACTGGACTGTAAAAACAAACAGAAAAGTTAGATGCTGTACTTCAATACAAAACATACAGGTCTTGGGAGATGACATGAATACCTGCTTGATGGGGGTTCTGGGAGCTCTTCTACTCCCCAAGCCCGGCCCGAGGCCAGGCTCGACTTGTGAGAGTTTGGTCCACCAGGCTGTTGCTTGGAGAGGCCCGCAGGCCCACATACCCACCACAGCCCGGCTGATCCGGAATTTCTCTTAAAAACAGTCCAGTTTTCTCTTGAAGATGTCCACAGTTGTTCCGGCAATATTTCTTATAGTCGCTGGGAGGACGTTGAACAACCGCGGACCTCTGATGTTTATACAGTGTTCTCTGATTGTGCCTATGGTACCTCTGCTCTTCACTGATTCAATCTTGCATTTTCTTCCATATCGTTCACTCCAGTACGTTGTTATTTTACTGTGTAGATTTGGGACCTGGCCCTCCAGTATTTTCCATGTGTATATTATTTGGTATCTCTCTCGTCTCCTTTCTAGGGAGTACATTTGGAGAGCTTCGAGATGATCCCAATAATTTAGGTGCATTATCTCGTCTATGCATGCTGTATATGTTCTCTGTATTCCCTCTATTTCAGCAATCTCTCCTGCTCTGAGGGGGGAAGTGAGTACTGAGCAGTACTCGAGACAGGACAACACAAGTGACTTGAAGAGTACAACCATTATGATGGGATCCTTGGATTTGAAAGTTCTCGTAATAAATCCTATCATTTTTCTGGCTAACGCAATATTTGCTTGGTTATGCTCCCTAAATGTTAGATCATCGGACATCATTATTCCCAAATCCTTGACATGCTGTTTTTCTACTATGGGAAGATTCGATTGTGTTTTGTACCCTATATTATGTTTCAGGTCCTCATTTTTGCCATACCTGAGTACTGGAATTTATCGCTGTTAAACATCATGTTATTTTCTGCTGCCCAATCGAAAACTTTGTTGATATCTGCTTGTAATTTTTCAATGTCTTCAGCAGAGGTAATTTTCATGCTGATTTTTGTGTCATCTGCAAAGGATGACAAGAAGCTGTGACTTGTATTTTTATCTATATCTGATATGAGAATAAGGAACACCAGTGGTGCAAGGACTGTACCTTAACTCTTAAAGTGCGCATCACGTCATATGACGTGTTGGACGTTGTTCCAGTCAACTGTGCATCACGTCATATGATGTGTTGGAGTACTACGCAAGATTTAAACGGCCCGCGGATACACGGGGTTCACCACACCTTCATCAGGGCTCTTGTAAACAGACGCCATTTTTTTTTTAAATCGTGGGCCAAACTCCCGGGTGTTATTGGCCTCAGTATTGAGTGAGCAACCAAGCCTGACGCACGCAGCATGAACTAACAGCACTGCTGTTCAGCTTGTGACCACAGCATCGCCTAAAAATGACAAAATATACTTGTTCATGCTATTATGTAGCGATGATATTATTACAGAAGACCCCTGACTGTGGTAAAACTGACCAGGGTTCTGATAATAGCAGGATTGTGGTGATATTTAGTGCTGTAAGCCATGGAGGGAGGAGTAATGCTGTGGGAGGGAGGATGGTGGCGTTGTCTTCTGACTGTGTGTGGCCACCTTTTATTGACTGCATTCGCCACACCAGCTTAGTGGTTCGCTATGGTGAACACAAATGTAGATACTTGTATATAATGTGTGTATAGAGGGTATAAACAGCAAGAGAAGGTTTGGAGCCGCCATTTTGGTGAGGGCGGTGGCATCGTCTGCATGACCCCACCGTGCAGACGACGTGGGTTTTTACTGGTTACCACGATGGTCTTTGGGCACCATACCAGTTTATTTGTACAAGTATGGTGAATAAAACAGGTAGATATTTATATATAATGTGTGTATATAGCGTAATAACACCACACAGTATTGTTGGAGGAGAAATATTAGTGCGTCTGGCCTTGAGGGCGGCAGCCATCAGCTGACTGTGTGAGGTCCTACGTATTTGTGCCTTTACTCACCATACAAGCTTAGATGTACAGTTATGGTGAACAAAACATGTAGATACTTATATATAACGTCTGTATATAGTGAATTATAGAAAAAACAGTATTGTGGGAGGAGAATGTGGGCGAGTCAGATGACTGGAGGGAGGGCGGGAGTGACTGGCTGGTACACGGCGGTCACTCCTCATTACTTTTTGACTCATAATAGCTACTTAGTGGTTCGTTATAGTGAACAAAACATGCAGATACTTATATATAACCTGTGCTTATAGTGTAATAACCGACAAAGTATTTGTTCACTGATTGATGAACATAATTGAATCAACAATATGCACACCATATTTTTGAGTACAGCAATGATTCACTCATTTTATTATATAAATATATCAAACTACACACTATTGAATAATATTACAGCAAAAAAACTATGAAAAATCAATCAGAGACATTAAAATAATTAGGTAATTATCTCTTTGTGGCAACTCCGGCCTGACAGCTGGCGAGCAACAGACCGCCTGGGACGCACGCTGAGTCAGCGCCTATAATTTGCCAGACTTCCTCGCCCTATAGCGGGCAATATATGCCACTTACGATTTTTTTATTATTTTTCCCGTGATCAGTGAACACAAATTAACAGGTTAGGAAGAAAAAATAATTTTTTTTTTTTCAAAATGACATGCGCCTGTGGGGATGACAGGATATTAACCCCGAGCATGTTAAGGATTAAGGTACAGAGCTTTAAACTGCACTTGGACTTGATTTTATTTGATTGACTGTTACTCTTTGTGTTCTGTTCGTCAGGAAATTGAGTATCCAACGTCCTACTTTTTCAGTTATTCCCATTGACCTCCTTTTGTGTGCTATCACCCCATGGTCGCATTTGTCAAATGCCTTTGCAAAGTCTGTGTATACAACATCTGCATTTTGCTTTTCTTCTAGAACTTCTGTGATTTTGTCATAGTGGTTGAGTAACTGTGACAGACAGGATCTTCCCACTCTAAATCCATGTTGTCCTGAGTTGTGCAACTCATTGTTTTCCATAAAGCTAGAAATTTGATTCCTAATCTCTCTTTCAAATACTTATTATGTGTGATGTTAGTGCAACTGGCCTATAATTTTTTGCCAAGGCTTTACTTTCCCCCTTGTGCAAAGGAGCTATATCTGCAGATTTAAGTGCTGCTGGTATCTTCCCTGTATCTAGGCTCTTTCTCCATATTACGCTGAGTGCTCATGCTACTGGTACTTTACATTTCTTTATGAATATTGAATTCCATGAGTCAGGCCCAGGAGCTGAGTGCATAGGTATATTGTCAATTTCTCTTTCAAAGTCTTCCGATTTTGTGGTAATATCCGTTATATTATCAGCAGCTTGAATGTCATTCATAAAGAAGCTGTCTGGGTCATCAACTTTCATGTTGTTTATTGGTGTGCTAAACATAGCCTCATACTGGCTTCTAGGAGAGGGCACCAGATAAATGTTTGGCTAGGGAACACTAGGCCCTTGTTGACTAGTAATGGCATCTGCAAGCAGGAGGGTAGAGCAGTTAAGGTGTATTTTGGTTAATATGGATTAGTTTTGCATATCTGTTTGGTATTCATCCATACCATATTTTGTCAGGTGTTCCCTCAATATGTGTTGTCTTATGACACATACAGCTGCCCTGCTCCTGTAATGAGGCAAGAATCTGGTACCTGTTCCCGGCAGCTCATGAGATTGTCAAAAGATGTCTAGTGAGATGGTACTGGTCCTGGGAAAGCAGTGCATGAGTGGAATGGTTGGTAGCTAATGATAATCCAATGGTAGCTATTGGAAACTACCAAGAAAGCAATCTCTGAAAAACAACTTTTTATACACTATTAATTAAATCTAGCAATGCTACATTTAGAAAACTTTACTAAGAAAAATTGAGAAATCTGATTATCTTGAAAGCTTAATTAAGTATTAAAAAAGAACTTACAGAGTTTGCTTGGTGAACAGATGGTGCTGATGTCAGAGCTAAAGACTCGTCAGATGATGTAGGTTTTGCAGGTGATAAATTAGGTTGAACAAGCTGTTTTACTTGAGGGGAGACTGGTGGCCGTTTTGCTTTCAATCCACTGTCAACTCTGGCTCCTACATGTCGAAACAACAACGGCTTATTTTTTTTTATGGCACTCAGTTGAATATTGGCCAATTTCAGTTTTCTCTGCAAAATATATGAAGTCTTGTGAACATATTGTATGTTAGATAGCTTCGGAAAAAAACCAGCGTTGAATGTAACAAACCGCCATTTTCTGGGTGAGCCCCGGAGGCTTCCTGGAGCTATCATACTATCATTGTAGCTATAAGCTACATTAGACTGGGGCATCAATCACATGGAGTTCTTACCTACCAGAAACCACAAGCCAAAACCTGGCTCCCTCAGAGAGGTGCAGGAAGCAATGTTTTATGAAAACTTCACTCTTTGAGAGTATATTCATGTCTGCCATCGACTGGGGAAAGGAACCCAGAAAAGTAGGCATCACAAAATATACCCCAACTGTTAGAACATGGCAACTCAAGACCAAACAGAGTACAAGAACTCACAAGAAAAACAATGCAACAAGCAAAACATCACCAAACCAACACGCTGCCCCTCCCCCAAGGGGCTCCCCCCAGAAAATGGCGTTTCATTACATTCAATGCTGGTTTTCTGTAGGAAGTCCCGTCGGCTCCCTGAACCTAGATACAGTACCCACAGAGAAGTAAAACAGGGATTCACCTGTGTCCTTCAGGACGAAGATGAGACAGCGACAGGCACTGAAAAGCCACACAGTGTCGCTGGGGACTCGGAATATTAACCAAATAACGGGCGGACAGGACCCTGTTCGAACATCAAAACCCCCGTGCCTGAATGTAAGAGGTGCAAATTTCCGATCATGGGGCACGAACTTTGAAGACAATGAACTCCCAGACATGTTCATTGTCTACATAAATGATCTACCAGATGGAATACAGAATTATATGAACATGTTTGGTGATGATGCTAAGATAATAGAAGGATAAGAAACTTAGACGATTACCATGCCCTTCAAGACGACCTGGACAAAATAAGTATATGGAGCACCACTTGGCAAATGGAATTTAATGTGAATAAATGCCATGTTATGAAATGTTAAATAGGAAAACATAGACCCCACACATCCTATAAATTATGTGAGAAATCTTTACAGAATTCTGATAAAAAAAAGAGAGAGATCTAGGGGTGGTTCTAGATAGAAAACTATCACCTGAGGACCATGTAAAGAATGTTGTGTGAGGAGCCTATGGTATGGTTTCTAACTTCATATTTTGCTTTTAAATACATGGATGGCAAAATACTAAAGAAACTGTTCACGACTTTTGTTAGGCCAAAGCTAGAATATGCAGTGGTTGTGTGGTGCCCATATCTTAAGAAGCACATCAACAAACTGGAAAAGGTGCAAAGACATGCTACTAAGTGGCTCCCAGAACTGAAGGGCAAGAGCTATGAGGAAAGGTTAGAGGCATCAAATATGCCAAAACTAGAAGACAGAAGAAAAAGAGGTGATATGATCACTATGTACAAAATAGTAACAGGAATTGACAAAATTGATAGGGAAGTTTTCCTGAGACCTGGAACTTCAAGAACAAGAAGTCATAGATTTAAACTAACTAAACAAAGATGCGGAAGAAATATAAGAAAATTCACTTTCGCAAACAGAATGGTAGATGGTTGGAACAAGTTAAGTGAGAATGTGGTGGAGGCCAAAACCTTCTGTAGTTTCAAAGCGTTATATGATAAAGAGTGCTGGGTAGACGGGACACCACGAGCGTAGCTCTCATCCTGTAACTACACTGAGGTAATTACACTTAGGATATTACGAGGACAGACCCTACGGACAACCTGAGAGACCCAAGCCCTGAAACAGGGAATGAGGTGTAACCGAGTCCACCCGGTTACTGGGTCTGGCTCGTGGTTCCCAGTAGGCAAGAACTCCATGTGACTAATGCCCCAGACTAATATACCATATAACAGTAGCTATCACCTTATATGTGCTATCAATATGCTTTTAATGTGCCTACTAATCTTTGTCAAATTATCAATCAAGCTATCAATGCTATCAATCAAAGCTATCAATGAACTGTAATATACTTACTAATCTTTATAAAAAAAAATTACAATGTACCTGTTAACATTAAAAAAGTTTTGCAAGAATTTACCTACTTAATATTATCTGTTAAATTAAGGAACTGCCCGAAATGCTGTGCGTAGTAATGGCTTTACAAGAATGAACAAACATCATGCTATGTACTCTCACAAACCCAATGTACCTTCTTGTATATACAGTATATATAAATAAATAAATATATATCATGTAAATGGTTGTGTTTACCTCCAGATGGTCATTTTTCAGTCGTAATTCTCTTATAGACTGCCGCTGAGTTTCCAAGACATCCTGATATTCCATTTCTTGGACACTACATGAAGCATTGTCTTTGCTGTTGCCATCTTTCTTTTTATCTGCTATTATTTTCCGAAGTTTAGTTTGTAACCTGCAGCAAAGAAGAATTAGATCTATAGAAGATACCTCTGCCAACCAGCTACCACATTCTAATATATCAAATTTCAAGCTGGCCATTTGTAAGTATATATATATTGAACAAACAAATATATATACAAGAGGTTGCTGTATACCAACTGTCCCAGATGAACATCACAATTACAGTCCAGGATGAACACCAATATTACTATCCCAGATGAGCACCAATATTACCGTCCCAGATGAACACCAATATTACCGTCCCAGATGAACACCAATATTACTATCCCAGATGAACACCAATATTACTATCCCAAATGAACACAATATTACTATCCCAGATGAACACCAATATTACTATCCCAGATGAACACCAATATTACTATCCCAGATGAACACCAATATTACTCTCCCAGATGAACACCAATATTACTCTCCCACATGAACACCAATATTACTCTCCCATATGAACACCAATATTACTCTCCCATATGAACACCAATATTACTCTCCCATATGAACACTAATATTAATGTCCTGCTTGATAGGGTTCTGAGAGTTCTTCTCCCCAAGCCCAGCCCCGAAGCCAGGCTTGACTTGTGAGAGCCTGGTCCACCAGGCTGTTACTTGGAGCAGAGAAATCCCAGAAGCCCATCAAGAAGGTATCAAGCAGGCCCGCAGGCCCACATATCCACCACAGCCCGGTTGGTCCGGTACTTCTTGAAGAAAATTATCTAGTTTTCTCTTGAAGATGTCCATGGTTGTTCCGGTAATATTTCTTATACTCGCTGGGAGGATGTTGAACAACTGTGGACCTCTGATGTTTATACAGGTTTCTCTGATTGTGCCTATGGCACCCCTGCTCTGCACTGGCTCTATTTCACATTTTCTTCCTTATTGTTCACTCCAGTATGTTGTTATTTTACCGAGTAGGTTTGGGACCTGGCCCTCCAGTATTTTCCACGTGTTTATTATTTGATGATAAAATTCACCCAGATGAATTATATCGGACTTAAACTCCAATATGTGAGTGAGTGAGTGAGTGAGTGAGTGAGTGTGAGTGAGTGAGTGTGTTTTTTTCGTTCGGTGTACTACGTTCACTGGACCTAGCAGCATATCACAGAGGAAAAAAAAAAATGAGCCCCACTGCCAACATAGACGAAGTTCGTAGAAACTCCGAAGGCTTGGGAGCCGGTCAAGCAGAAAGGGCAAGGACACCAGGAACAAAAACTGGTGCCCTGCAGAAAGGAAAACTAGGAACCCCAGTCTGAGAACACAAGACCAAGGGACAAGGCCATCACCCAGAAGTCCCCAGGGGGGAGAGAGAGAGGGTAGGATGCAAGAAGCAGGCACTCGTAGGGAACAACGAAGACAAACAAGAGTCCAGAGAAACCAGCACTGCCATAAAAGGCAGAAAAAGGCAGAGTCCAAGGGAAAAGCCTGAAAGAAGGGGAGCCTGCTGGGAAAACCCAGAAGCTTCAGCAGGAGGAACAGACTTCAAAGGCTGCCCCATCAAATGGGGCAGCCCCCCGGGGCCGCCCGAGTCTCAACCCCAACTAAACCCGGCCCCAACTCCAAAACCTTCAGACGTTTGGGAGACAGAAGCAGGGGATGGAGGAGCAGGGCGAACCACACTAACAAAGAAAGGACTTGAGGGCATGGACTGAACCAAGGCCAAAGAAACCAACACCCCCAAAGTCCGGGCCCTAACCAAAATGGGGCAGCCCTGGGGCATTCGAGCGGGTAACCAACCGAGCGCATTGCAATAACCTAAACCTACTATACAACATGACAGCCGCTTGACCCTTAAGATCTTCCGAAGAAGAATGGTTAAACATGAGAACGAGCGGGTAACAAGACCCCGCACGACCCCAGGTCGAAGGTGTTGGTGACTCAACAAGCAGCCTGATGGACGCAATGCAGGTGATCGATACCCTGAGACAAGGGCAACGAACAACCTACAAATTCGCACATGGCAAGATGAAACTTGGAGGACACATCCCTTGATCAACCAAGCCCCCAACGGGTTTCCAGGACCTGGAGGGGGATGTGTCTCTATTGGAAGCCCAAGCACTGCTGCTGCCAAAGCCAGTTGTAACACAGTTTGTTAACCCAGGCAAACTGGCCCCTGTGAGGTGAGCAACCTTGGGGGCCCGAGAGGAGGACTGCCCCAAGGAACCTAGGTGTACCTAATAGGAAACCAGGCAGCCCTCCACTAGGCAATGAAAGACACTAAAAGCAGGAAAAGAATCCTGAAGAAGCTCCGCTACAACAGTTGGCCAGAGAGTGTCACGACCGCTGTTGGTATGCAAACTGTGCAGCCCGGTGTGCTCCAACCAGCAACAGCCACTCCCTACCCAGAGCCAAACGAAAGGACCGAGACCTAAGCTGACCCCAAGGGCGAGGCAGAAGTCAAGCGACCGCCACCTTTATGAGAGTGGGAACCCAAAGGCACCAAGAAAGAGAACCCTGACACCCAAGGGGTGTACTTACAGGGCGTAGCCAAGGAAAGTGAGCCCTAAGAGCATGCAAGCTCTGGGTACTGGACTCCTGGTCACCGCTCAATGCACAGCTGAAACAACCGCCCGGATGAAAAGCCTGTCAGGCAACTGAGACCAGAGTAGATGTCTACCCCGTTAGCTTCACCCCAGGAGAGTGGGGGGGATGGGCGGTTCGGCACGATCAACCGGGCCGCGGTGTGATGATGTGTTGCTTGTTTTTTTGTTTGCCTTGGGGGGAGTTTCTAGCCTCTGTTCAGTCTCGGGTTGTAATTTTCCTACCAGTTGGGGTCTGTTTTGGGGCACCTACCTTCTGGGTGTATAACCCCCAGTCGATAGCAACATGAAAACTTTCATACATGGCAGTTCCATGGGCCATTGCTCCCCGCACCTCTCTGAGGGAACCATGATCTGGCAAGTGGTCCCTGGTAGGCAAGACATCTCCATATGACTGAAGCCCCACACTAATAATAGCTAATATCAGTCCAATAGCTCCAGGGAGCCAACGTGGCACCCCACAGAAAAAGAGGCGATATGATCACTATGAACAAAATAGTAACGGGAATCGATAAAATTGATAGGGAAGAATTGCCGAGACCTGGAACTTCAAGAACAAGAGGTCACGGATTTAAACTAACTAAACAAAGCTGTCAAAAAATTATAAGAAAATTAACTTTCGCAAACAGTGGTAGACGGTTGAAACAAGTTAGGCAAGAAGGTGATGGAGGCCAAAACCATCAGTAGTTTTAAAGCATTATATGACAAAGTGCTGGGAAGACGGGACACCAAGAGCATAGCTCTCATCCTGTAACTTCATTTAAGTAATTATCTGCTGGTGGGCAACTGTTACTAGAGGGTAAACCACGTGACTACTTGTGGATCGTTTGCCAAGTTGTTTGTTTTCATTTACCTTGCTGTTGACTGATTTCCTTTGATCCCCTTTCTGAGGTTAGTTCCTTGGTGAGGTTGATCACCTATTCCCTGCTCTCTGTTTGAATTAAAAACAGGTAGGACAAAAGGACAGTGGTGTAAACTGGAGATGCAATCGAGTCAAAAACATGTAAGGTAGTTTTCGTTCCCTGTACAGGTGGTTGTCAAGTGGAATGCATTGAAGAAAGAGGTTGTTGAAGCCAATTCCATCCACAACTTTAAAAAGAACTATGATGAAAACAACATTGAGATGGGGTAATTAGCATGCCAGGTATGAATAGCTAGGAGGCTGGGCATAAAGAGCTAGAACTTATTCCCACTCAGTCACTGACATGTAAGTACATCTGTTAAAGGACTAGATTTTGGCCTCTGGTAGGCTTTTATTGACTTTTAAGAATCTGGTATGACTCTAAAAGGTGCTAACCTGAGTGGCAAGGTATTGGGAGCTATCAAGTGACCCTCCAAAACAATTTTTTTATGGGAAAAGGAAACTCAAACTTACTTTTTTATTTTGTCTTCTTGTTTCCTGGAAAATGTCTTAAGTGTGTAGAAGTCATCCTTTAGACCAACGTATTTCTCACAGAGATCCTTTTGGTTCAGGTGACTCAGCCAATACATCTCCTCAGGAGCTGCTGAAATAGTGAACCACAGCTGTTAACACAGTCTAGAATATATCTTCACACTAGCATAAAAGAAGTTAGACTATGTACATAAGGTACTTCATTGCTCAAAGTACTGTAACACTATATATTACACACGTTGCTGCTTTCAGTGTGAAGATTCTTTTATTTATACCAACATTTGTACATTTTGTCTTGTGTCCTGTTTGAGTCCAGTGTAACCTGTTTACAAATGCCCCGAATTACAAATTTTTCGGTGTACGAAGTCAATTGCCTCATAAAATTTGACTCGGTGTATGAAGTTGACTCAAGAGTACGAAGTGCTTGTTCAGTATCCATTTTATTTAATTAATGACCTATATGAGGCTATACCCAAGTTGTTAAATTCTGACTAGTGATTATTCATCATTATTAAGGGGCGATGTAGTCCATAGCTGCACAGCAGTTCTGTGAGCTGCCGCTGCATGTACCAGCCTTGGTTACTCTGGCAGTACCGAGACTCACACAGCCAGGAGGGATGCAGAATTTTTTTTTTCAAGATGGCATCTATTTACTGGTATCCTGAGGCATAAGATGTGAGCCTCATGTACCCGCTGGAGTTTTGAATCATTCCCTATACCTAAAAATGCCTCAAGGTGCTATGTGCACCACCAGTCATGCACCTTAGGCACTATGAGCAATGGAGGGGTTAAAGCCTTGTCACATAATTTGTGGCCAATTTTCTCCTATTCCTCATTCCATAACATTGCATTTATTCGCATTAAATTACATCAGTCAAGTGTTGCTCATACACTTATTTTGTCCAGGTCATCGTGAAGGGCATGGCAATCGTTTAAGTTTCTTATCTTCTCTAGTAGCTTAGCATCATCAGCAAACATGTCATATAATTCTTTATTCCTTCTGAGAGATCATTCATATATATAATTAACATTATTGGTGCTAGAACTGAACCCTGCAATACTCCTCCAGTAACATTTCTCCAGTCTGACACATTGCCTCTGATTACTGCCTTCATTTTTCTGTCAGAAAAGTTTTCATCCATATCAACAGTCTCCATCACCCCTCCAGTATATTTCAGTTTCCAGAATAACCTCTTATGTGGGACTCTGTCAGAAGCCCTTTTTAGGTCCAGATAAATGCAGTCAACCCACCCATCTCTTTCCTGTAAAATCTCTGTGGCTCTATCATAGAAACTAAGTAGATCCATTACACAGGATCTTCCAGATTAAAAACCAAGCAATATTGTCTTGTTACATCATTTTTCTCCAGGTGTTCTCATTTGGTTTTAATTATTTTTCTAGTGTTTTGATTACCATGCTTGTCAATAATACAATTTTTTAATTAATAGAGTCTTCCTTGCTACCATTTTTGTAGATTGGAACTATGTTTGCCTTTTTCCATATACAGTACTGTATCTGCCAAAACTCCTGTATACAATGATGACAGAAAATTCAACTGAAGTGAGGCGTGCATTCTCTCAAAAGCCAAGGCCCATCTGGACTAGCTACCATGTTTCTACCTATCTCCTTGAGCATTATTTCCACTTTGTCTTGAGACACCTCTATGTACTCTATGGTATTATCTGAAATTTGAACTGTCTGGTTCTTTAAAAAACTTCATTTTTCACAAATACACTTTGGAGCTGTTCATTTAGTGTTTCACACATTAAATGAAGTTTAATGTGTGTTTTATTCTTCATAGTTTCCAATCACCACAGCAGGATATAAAGGAAAGTAGAAGCAACCCT